TGGATTCAGTTCTGACTGGTGTCCTATGGGGGAGGGGAGGGTCACCTGGTGAGGAGGGCAAGCAGGGCAGGGCTTGCCTGCCTGCTGGGGAACTCATCTCTCTCTCTCTCTCTCTCTCTCTCTCTCTCACACACACACACACACACACACACACACACACACATGCTCAGGCTCACACACACGCATGCTCACACTCACACAGGGTCCACTGTTGTCAGGGTGATGGAGAAAGGCCTCCCATGCCAACACAGGCTGCCTTCTCCCAGGGGCTCCAGGACACAGGCTTGAGGCCCGTGGTTTGCATTTGCACAGAAATGCTGACATTTCCTCTTGCCTTCTGCAACCTCCGCCCTTGTTCTGACTCCAGCCTTTAGGAGTGTAATTAAAGCCAACCTCAGTCAAAACACTTCCCGACTCCAGGCTAGCTGCTGGCATCATTGACTGGTGACAGCTCCCTTCCAGCCTCTCACAGCTTCAGCGAACCTGCCTCCCGAGGCAGGAGCAGGGGTGCTGGAAGGCCCCTTGCCCCTGCGCCCCTGGTTGGGCTTAGTTTGGTAACATGTGGATGCAGACAGAGTCCCAGGCCCACCGTGGCCCACATACCCCGAGCCTGAGCGGGACAGTCAGGCATGCTCTTCTCACAAAAGGGAAGTCTGTGGTGTCTCATAGCCGAGACTGGGGCCTTGGGGCTGTCGCATGGCACTGGCTTCAGGCTCTGTTGCAGGAGAACTGCTTGCCCGGGAGCATATTCTCTCTAAAGGAATCGGGGAGCGAAGTCTGGGGACCAGGCTGAGGTGTGAACGGCCAAATCCCCAGAGGCACTGCTATCTCCCAACCCCACGTTCTGTCCACGCCCCTGTTCACCTGCTCAGTGGCCTCTGCAGGTGGGCAGGATATGTGGTCATCTCCGCCAGTCAGACATGGATATTGGTGCTGAAGCCACTGGACAATGAGCTGGCTCAGCCCCAAGGCCAGCGCCCATCTGCAGGAGGGAGTTTGGTTTTGTTGTGGGTCTGTCTCAGTCTGCGGGTCTGAGTGTGAGCTTACTGGGAGGGTGTCTCAGGGAGCACCGTGGGGCATGGAGATGGGAGGTGGCGTGAGGACGGCAGGACAGGACTGGAGCGTTAAAGCGAGTCCCGCGAGGGCCTGGAGCTCAGTCCTGCTGGGACCCAGGCCACGTGGAGAGCCTCGGGTTCCACTGCGCCCAGTGAGAACAGAGCTCTCAGCCCTGACTCCCAGCAGCCTCATCACCAGGCGGGTGGGGCAGCCTTAGCGGCCTGATGAGGAGGGAGGGGTTGGAGTGCCTGGAAGGTTCTGGGGGAGCCCACGTGCCTGCAACATTCCAGCTCCTGAGCACAACAGAGGCGGCCCCCAGGCCCCCAGGAGCAGGGGAGGCCAAACCTTAAGAAGAGACACAAATCCAAAATGCTCCCTCTGCCGTGGAGGGCGCAGTTCTCTCTGTCCCCACAGTGGGGCTCACCCAGAGGACCCAGACCCTGCAGGGGCCCCATGGTATCCACCAAAAGGCTGCCCAGTGCAGGACCTCAGGGAACAGCAAGGACGGTGCCAGGTGCCCCTGGGGAATGCAGGCACTTGGAGGGCAGGGTCCGCGGCTCAGCACAGCTGTCACCATCTGTGTGCGAGGGTGGCGGGGTCAGAGCTGCCATCCCAATTCAGTCGCCAACTTGGATGGGTAGATGGTGAAATTTTCTATTTCTATCACATCACTGTGCAGCCCATCAGAGCCGACGGATCTTGCATTTGAACAGCTAGCTGCCTGCTGTGTGTGGTGCTGGGAGAATAATAGGAAGTGCGTTCATAGCGTTCATACCCAGGCCATTAGCAGGAGGGAGGGAGGGCCCCCTGAATAGGTGGCTAAAAATACCAGCCAGCGCCTCAGGGAGCAGAGCTGCAGGGCCAGGAGGTGGAGGCTCTTTCTTCCCCAAACGCAGGAAAGGACCGTCTCCACAGACCAGTGTGCCCTCCGCAGTCAGTAGCCTCCTTGCAGAGCCCAGGAGGTAAACTCGGAGGTTCGGGCAGTGAAATATCCTAAAGGCTCCCCGGGTACCATTCCCCAAGCACCACCACGCACCAGCCCCGTGCCCCCCACTCAGCACCGTCTCTCTGGCTCAGCCCCAGACTCAGGCGGGTCCCTGACTTACCAACATAGCCTGCAGCTGCTCAGCAAGGAATTAACATTAACGGAATGGGGCCTGGACCTCTGGGTTTGTTCCAGAGCCTGAGTCCCCACCCTGCAGCGACCCTCGACCCTCGGGAGCCCAGAGCCCCGAGGCAGGATTCCGCCTGTGCCCGGCCTCCTGGGATTGTAGGAAGTGACCAGGCACTCAGACCCACCCCAGCCTTCCTTCCCCGCTGGCGTCCTTTCCACTCTGTACCTCTCTGGCCTGCAGGCCCAGCCCGGCTCCAGCCCTGCTATCTGTCCTGGCTTTCCTTCCTCTGTCCCTTTGTTCCCCCAGTGCTTCTTGCATCTCATTACACACTTCTCTTTACATGTCTGCTCTGAGCCACAGGGGAGGGGGAGTCAGCACTGGCCACAGCCTTACAAAATAGCCTGTTCTTTCTTGAGTAGAGTAGAGCATCACTCTGAAAGGTAAGTCTCCTCTCGTGCCCCTTCCCCACAGTTACTGAATTCCAGTGACACCCTGACATCCTTATTTGACCATGGCCTCCAAGGAGCTGCTGCCTGGAGCCTTCCAAGAGCTGCCTGGGGTCCCCAAACGGGGCAGGTGGCAGGTCGCAGGTCGCAGGTCAGAGAGAAGCAGGGAGTTGGGGCTCACTCTGAGTCATGCATAGAGGTTGGGGGAGTGGAAATCTGGGGCAAAGGAAGTGTGCATTGGGAATTTCCACAGATATTCCCAAGTTGCCCTCCTTAGAGGTGGTACCAGTTTATTCTCCCATAATGTTGCAGAGACCGGAAGAAATCGAGCAATGCTCAGAGAGTTTGGAGTCACACTATTCACCGGTGGGCCCAGAGAAAAATGCCTTTCAAATTCTGGGCAAAGCTACAAGCAGAACTTCCCTTTTTATTAAAAAGCCAGCCCTATGTGTGCTTAGTGGTTATGTCGCTGGTGGCCTTGACAACAACACAGTTCTATCCAATTAAAAAATACACCTGGCATGGCATGAGAGTATGGGCGTATCTAGTCTCTGGCCTACAAGGTCAGACAGCTAAGTTTATCTTCCTCATTATTCAAGCAGGCTAAAGCAGACTGGAAAGCAAAGTTATTTTTTTTAGAATAAGAAGCCGCCTAAAAAAATAGAGAATTCCAAAGAGTAGTTTTACAAAATAGGGGTTAGCCTTCTCAACATGACCTTCCGTTCTCCCACATTCTCCCCAAACCAGTGTCTTGTCAAACGCTTTTCTCTTTCCCAACCCATAGGTGAAGGATGCTACCTTGTTCTTCGGATTCGTATTTCTCTTTATTATGAGACTAGAGGCCCAGTGCACAAAAATTTGTGCACTGGGGGGGGGGGGGTCCCTCAGCCCGGCCTGTGCCCTCTCGCAGTCTGGGACCCCTCGGGGATGACCACCTGCTGGCTTAGGCCCGCTCCCCGGGGGATTGGGCCTAAGCTGGCAGTCAGACATCCCTCTGGCAGCCTGGGAGCCCTTGGAGGATGTCCACTTGCCAGCGGGGAGCAGGCCTAAGCTGCAGTCGGACATCCTTAGTGCTGTTGAGGAGGTGGGAGAGGCTCCCACCACCACCGCTATACTGGCAGCCATCAGCCTGGCTTGTGGCTGAGCAGAGCTCCCCCATGTGGGAGCGCACTGACCACCAGAGGGCAGCTCCTGCATTGAGCGTCTGCCCCGTGGTGTTCAGTGTGTGTCATAGTGACCAGTCATTCCCAGTCTTTCTGCTGTTAGGGTCAGTTTGCATATTACCCTTTTATTATATAGGATTATTATGTTTAAATGCTGCTGATGTCTTCTCCCCTGGTTGGTCTGTTGAACTGGGTGGTTTCCTACAGATTTGTAGGGTTTTTTTTTTTAATTTTTTTAAAAAAATATATTTTATTGATTTTTTACAGAGAGGAAGGGAGAGAGATAGAGAGTCAGAAACATCGATGAGAGAGAAACATCGATCAGCTGCCTCCTGCACATCCCCCACTGGGGATGTGCCCGCAACCCAGGTACATGCCCTTGACCGGAATCGAACCCGGGACCCTTCAGTCCGCAGGCCGATGCTCTATCCACTGAGCCAAACCGGTTTCCTACAGATTTGTAGGGTTTTAAGGAAATCAGCCCTCCCTCCGTCTGGATGCTGTGTTGCCAATGTTTCCCTAGTTACTGAAAGAGGTTTTTTTTTTTTTTATCACTTAGAAGTTTTTATGGGGTCATCACTCTTTCTTTTATAGTCTCTGGGTTTTGTATCCTACTTATTCCCAGACCAAGAATTTTTATAATTATTTGCTTTATTTGGGAAATTTTTGGTCTCATTTTATTTTTTATTTAACTTCTTGATACCTCTAGAGCAGTGGTTCTCAACCTTCCTAATGCTGCGACCCTTTAATACAGTTCCTCATGTTGTGGTGACCCCCAATTTCATTGTTACAAATTGAACATAATTAAAGCATAGTGATTAATCACAAAACAATATGTAATTATATATGTGTTTTCCGATGGTCTTAGGCGACCCCCAAAGGGGTCGCGACCCACAGGTTGAGAACCGCTGCTCTAGAGCTATGTTTGGTGTAAGAGTGAGGTAGGGCTCTACAGCCGCCTAGCTGTCACGTGCCCCGGTCTGTCACTGTCTGATAAGCCGGGCCACCTTTTCATAAGCTGTGTTTCTGGGTGGTTTTCAGCTCTGCTCTGCTCCCCCGAGGCCCTCGCTTTCGGGGGCTGGGGAGCCCGCATAAGGTGGGCTCGGGGGAGTTCGCTTACGGACAAGTGTGGCCCCGCTGCCGACCTGTAGGACCGGTCCGCGTCCCCCTGTCGCTAGGCAACCGCCAGCGGCTGCAAGGGATTGAGGAAGACGCCGGGGCAGAGGCGCCATGGACCTGGTCATTACTCAGGAGCTGGCCCGCGCTGAGAGCCACCAGGGTGGGCGGGGACCCGGACTCCGAGAGCCTTCCGGACCCTGGGGACCCCCTCCCCCCACCCCCGGGAGCGGGTACCGGGAGGCTGTGATTCTGAACCTGAGGCCCCCGCGCCGTGCCGCTGGGGGCGGGGCCGTGCCGAGAGGATCCTGTCCCTCTCGGCGGCCACCCAGGGGCGCGGCCCGGGCTGCCAGCCTGACCCAGGCCCCTCTTGGACCCTCCTGACTGCCCCTCGCTGCTCAGTGCTCACCAGCCTCCCTCAACGCTTGTCCTGACAGATGCCACCTCCCTGAAGAGAGCGTACGAGTTGATTAAGTCCGCCGACCTGGGGAAATCCGAGTTTGACCCCACCGAGAGCTTCAGCCCCGACCTGTTGGTTCTGTGCGCCGAGCAGGCCCTGAAGGTCATTGTCCGAGGGGTTTCTGCTGGAAGCTGAAGGACGGGGAGGGCACAGCGCCGGGTGGGTGCCCAGGGAGAGACCGCTGGGCCCCTCCCTCCTCTGGGCGACCTGGAGCTCCGCCTTGTGTTTTGGGGAAGGAGGCGGCGACCGGGCGGTGTTCTCTTGCAGATGGGGCAGCCGGAGGTGAGCGAGGACTGCATCCAGATGTACTTCAAGGCGAAGGGGCCGGTCACCCATTTTCTGGGCCGAGCGCACCTGTGCAGGGCCCAGCTGTGTGCCCCCAAGTCCACCGAAAATCTGGTGAGAGCCGGTTCCCGGAGCTTATTTAAATATTTTTATTGATTTCAGAGAGGAAGGGAGAGGGATAGAGAGATAGAAACATTAATGGTGAGAGAGAATCATAGATTGGCTGCCTCCTGCACGCCCCCTACTGGGGGGGGGGGGTCGAGCCCCGCCCCCCTCTCCCCCCACTATGCGCCCTTGGCCTGAATCGATCTGGGCCCCCTTAGTCCGCAGGCCAATGTTCTATCCACTGAGCCAAACCAGCCAGGGCGCCCTGCGTTGTCTTTTAGTTCCTGTGGACCAGGAGGCTTGACATGGACCCTCTCAAGATGGTCAGTGAGATGAGGTGTCTGCCCTACTCTACTTCCCCCAGGAGGTTGCCTCGGTTCTCCTCAAAATTCCACATCTTGAATCACAACAGTTAATATTTAATACCCCCTTCCAAAATTATGTCAGGCTACACAAACCTTAAAGTATTTAAAATATATCTTTTTATTGAGGAAGGGAGAAGGGGATAGAAACATCAATGATGAGGGAGAATTGCTTATCGGTTGCCTCCTGCTCGCCCCCTACCGGGGAATCCAGCCCACAACCTGGGAATACTAGTATGCCCTTGACCGGATTCGAACCCGGGACCCTTCAGTCCACTGAGCCCAACCGGCTAGGGCTAATTGTGCAATTCTTTATGTTTTAGGAGGAGTTTGAAAATTGCGTGACTCAGTACATGAAAGCGATCAACTTTGCGAAAGGAGAACCTAGGTAGGCCATGGTTCTGTCGCTCCCGACTGGGACTGTGTGAAAGGTTTAGACCAGGATCTACCGAGTGGTTCTCTCTGTTCCTTGCTCTGTGTGTTTAGTGCACTAATCGTGTCACCCAGGTCTCTAAGGTAGAGCTGGGCTGAGGGCACAGTCCCCGTAGCTGCATCCTCTGCTCTGGTCCGTGGTTTCCGGGACCTGGGGGTGATCTGTACCAGCTTCCTCGACGGGCCTCTCTTCACCAGTTCCCGGACTGCTCGGGGGCTCAGCATCCCTCCCTGCGCTGCCCCCACTGGCCTGTGTTCCCCCAGCCACCACCTGGGCCCAGGCCTCGTGTCTGTGGAGGTGATTTGGCTGAGACTCCAACACAGTTTTCTTCTTAATTAATACTTGCTTCATCAAAAATACTATGTAAGCTTGCACGCAACCTTTTTAGATAGGACACAACATTTTAAGGAGATTTCAGCTTAAATCCTGGGTTCGCTCATTCACTGTCCCGCTGCTGCCATCGATGGCCTTCTCTGGCTGGCCCCTGTAATAGGTGCTGGAGATACGGGGCCCAGCCCCCAGACTCCCTCAGTGGGGACCTGCAGACAGGGAAGCCCGGTGGCCTCAAGCCAGAGGCTCTAAAGACAGTGGGTGTTTCAAGGGGACCATGCCCTGGGGCCAGGAAACCAGAGCGGTGGGCACTGTCAGGGAGGGGCCTGGTCGCTGCTGCATGCCAGGGGTTTTGGGGCTCTGAGTAAACCCACAAAGGAACCAGCAGCCTTGTCTTACTGCCAGCGCCCTGAGTCCTTCTCCTTCCTGGGTAATAGTGTTAATTAGCATCACGTATGCATCTAAGGGCCAGTGGAGAAGACCGGCAGACACCTGGGGTCCTACAAGGCAGAGCCCTGCCCCCAACCCCCCAAGAGAGGCCTGTAGAAAAAGGGGCGAATCAGCCCGTGATTCTGAACTCAGTCCCTCAGGTGGCTCCCTGCAGCCCTCAGGAAGAAGCCCAGCTTCCCAGGGGTGTCCTGACCCCCCACACTTTGCATTTCCTGTGTATATACAGAGCCTGCTCCCGGAAGGCTCCCCCCCCCACCCCCCCCCCGCCCCCGGCACTGCTCTCCTGGCTGATTCCTGGTCACCTTTTGGGTCTCAGCAGGATGTCACCTCCAGGAAGCCTTCCTTGATTCTCCCTGCTCTTGCCTGTTCTTGTCTATTCCTTGGGAGTCAAAGGAGGCCTTGCTCAGTGGTATATTTTCATGGGAAGCTGGGTACTTTGTGGAGTGACTGAATGAGAGAGGTGTTCTCCAGTCTGGCATCGGGAGCCTGTGGCCGGGTGATGGTGGCCGGGGCTGAGCTGGTGTCTGAGCAGGGCACCAGGCTGCCCCTGGGAGGGCTGTGCGTGTTTGTTCATGCAGTGTGGGCCATAGGTCTCAGAGGGGACTGCTGCCACCTGCTGGGGACAGAGGAACTCAGCTTTCTTCCCAGAAGAGGGCTGGGGACGGGCTCTGCATCTCAGACTTCCTCCTCTTGTGCCGTAGGTATTACTTCTTGGTCTATAACGCCTCGGTCCTGTACTGGCAAATGGTGAGGCCCTTTCTCAAGCCTGGGTATTATCAGTATGTGATCCCCAGCCTCTCCCAGATCGTGAGCGTGTTAAACCAGACGGAGGAGGAGGACAAGGACTGGCAGGCGGAGCTGATGCTGTGAGTGGAGGCGCCCGCCCTGCGCGCCCCCCGTGGGCGGTCACCCCCGCTGCAGGCGTAGGTCGCTGCTCCGGCTCTGTAGCGAGGGCCCTGCGTTGTGTGCCTTGTCTGAGGATGTTTCTGACTGTAGGTGACACCCCCTGGGTGTGACAACAGGACGTGTGCTTTGACTCAAAACACAGAAAGTGTGAGCCTGTCCCATAGTCCAGTCCCCTTCCCGCTCCTCCTCCCTGCCAAGCCAGACGCTGGCTCGGGGTAAGGAGCTGGCCCGCCCCGTGTCTTCCGAAGTCTGTGCAACATGAAAATAATACCAGCGCCATAGGCTGCTTATTAGACATTTGCAACAGAAAATGGTTTCACCAGCGTTTTCTCTCCGCCACGTTGGTGTTCTCCAGGGAGCTGCTGGAGTGCTACCTACAGGCTGGAAGGAAGGAGGAGGCCGCGAAGCTCTGTCCCACAGCAGCGCCGTTCATAAAAGAGCACGCGCCGCACAGATACCAGCAGATGTTTTCTGTGATGGTGAGTCGGCAGGTCCAACGTGGAGACAGAAGTGGTTTTGCTCAGTGTCTTCAGTCAGAAACCTGTATGAAACCAGCCTGCAGGTCCAGCCACCGAGGGACACAAAACATGCAGACACAGACACAACACAACACAACAGCTGTTCTTCACTGCGACTCTGAGTATTTCCTCTGTAACAAACAGCACTGACTTTTAAAAACAGTGGAAAACTTGGAAAGTAATGACCATAACAACGTGTATGAAGAGCATTCATAATCTATTAAGTCTTGAGTTGGAAATCAAGTGATATATGAAAAACTAAGTACTAAACATAATTCATGAAAAGATATGTGTTCTAAATGTTAACGTCAAAGAAGGAATATTCGCCAACGAATAGCTAAACGCGACATCCGATCTCTACCTGGTTCCTCATTGAAACCTGAATTGATATCTTGTTCCGTTTCATAACAGGTACGTCATGAATTGATGGACGAGCATCAGTTACAGGAAGAAAAGAAACGTTCCATTAACCTGGCCATCACTTTCCACATTAACTTTCTAAAACAGTAAGTGTTTAGGGAGGGAGAACAGGCGTGAGATTTCCCAGTGCCCTCTCTCTGCTGTGCCCGTGGGGGCGGAGCTGCGGGACAGCCGTGGAGGGGGCTTCTACCCCAGGGGAAGGTTGGAGGCTGGCCAGGACATTCAGCAAAACTAGAGGAGTGGGCGAGACCCTGCCGGAAGCAGCTGGAGTGCCCAGGGAGAGGAATTGTACCCCGGCACAGACCTGCTGCCGTGGAGAGGGGGGGGGGTGGGCGAGATGCCAGCGTAGGGGAGAGGCCAGGGCAGGGAGGAGGCCTGGGTCTGGGGCAGCCAGTGCGACGGGCTTGGCATCCCGCAAGGTGGGCTCTGTGTGTGCGGCTGGCCCGGTGGAGGGGCTGGTGCACAGTGTCCGGGGTGTGTTCATTTTCAGTGACGTAGGAAGAGAGCCGGATCCGGGGGTGGGGGCGGGTGAGGCGCCTGAGGTGTCGACCAGGAGCCGAGGAGAGAAAGGAGGTAGATTCATTTTAGGCCTCTGTTTGGTGGGAGAAACAGGTTCATGGACTCAGAATATTTTTTTTTAGGATGATTTGAATAAACCCAACAGGAGCTGTGTTATTTATGTTTGAATTAATTCTAGAAAATTGGATAAGAATGATTTACCTGAAGATGCCAACAAAATTCTGAAGAGCACCTATAAACAGTTAGATCTCTATAATCACCAGAGCCCGCCTCCGACGGAAGAGGAAAAGTAAGTGTTTATGCGCTACAGGTGCACAGCTGCACGTGGCGGTACGAGATCTGGTAAGGACGGGAGAAAGGGATGGAGACAGGGAGCACCCGGCGACCCCCACGCGCCCGCCACGCGTACTTCCTCGGGCTGCAGTGCACTTCCTCTAGCTCCTGTGGTCCTGAGGCCTGTGCTGTGCGGGCCGAGCTGGGGATCTGTAACTTCACATCCTACTTTTGAAAGTCAAATAGACTCTTGCAGAAGTGCTTTTCAAGGTCACCTTCCCAAGGGGCTGCCCACCATTTCCAGGTGGAAGACAAGCGTTCCAGTCACCTCCCTCCACCCCGCCGCCCATCTCCCCCCCCCCTGTTGCCCCCAACACAAGCCATGCTAACTTCTCAGTTAGGGTAGTGACAGGGGTGTGGGAAAGGGCAGGAGGGTGTGGGCTTGTCCCGGGGGCACTTGCTGTGTCTGGAGACACTCTGTTGCCACTGTCTGGGGACTCAGCATCCTGCCAGCACAGGACAGGCCCCCACCCAGCACGGATGACCCGGTCCCGGCGTCAAAGCTGAGAAACCTGCCTGTCTTACACCAGGGCCAGGTCCTGGAGTCGCCAGCTCTGTAGTGTCCTACCGTCAGGCAGGACTGGCTGTGTCCTCTGACTGGGTCCTTTCTCAAAGCTGCTCAGGCCATCATAGGTCCTTGGCATTGTCAGTAAATGCTATTATAAAGATTGTTTTAAAAAGTTGTTATTTATTGGTGAGAGAGAGAAGAGAGAAGAGAGAAGAGAGAAGAGAGAAGAGAGAAGGGAGAAAGAAACATCATTGGTTTCCCGCTTACCTGCACATTCATTGGCTGGTTCTTGTATGTACCACGGCCAGGGATCAAACCCCCAACCCTGGCGTGTCAGGATGACGCTCTCACCAGCCGAGCTGCCGGCCAGGGCTCTGTGTTCTCTTCTCACTTCCTGCCTCGGTGCCTGACAACTGGACGCCTGTGCTGCCGGGGGCATCTTCCCGGCACCTGGTGATGCCTTGCTGCTCTGCTTTTGTTTCCAGATTCTTCCTGCTTTTTGAATTAGCTCATCTTTCTCTGACCTTGAAATGTGAGGATGTCGCCGTCAGCTGCCTCTCAGACCTGAAGGACATTGACAGCAAAGTAAGTGGCCAGTGACTGTGGGTGGGCACCTGCCCGCTGTGATCATACGGAAAGGGAAGGGGAGGGATGGAGAGGGAAGGGAAGGGGAGAGGAGGGAAGGGAAGGGGAGGGAAGGGGAGGGGAAGGAAGGGAAGGGGAGGGGAGGGAAGGGAAGGGGAGGGGAGGGAAGGGAAGGGGAGGGAAGGGGAGGGGAGGGAAGGGAAGGGGGAGGGACGGGGATGCAATGGGATGGGAGGGAAGGGGAGGGGAGGGAAGGGAAGGGGAGAGAACGGAAAGGCTTGGAGCCCAGGAGGCACGTTTCCCTCCGTCTTCGTTGTGTGCAGCTCAGGTGGTAAATTTTTTTTTAGCTTTTTCACTTAAATCTTTGTATCTTTTATAAACATTTAAAATTTTTAAATATATTCTTGTGTTGTGATTTTTATTTGCTGAATTTCTACCTAGTGCATTGACTTATTTAAAATTGTCGTTGAAGTTAATGGCTGTGTGTGATTGCCTTCGTGCCAAGTCTCCCTATCTGCGTTGTGCAGGACCCTGGGAAGCTGATCGAGATTGAGTGCTTGGAGTACGAATTAGAAGCTCTAAGACTCGAAAGTAAAATTAAAATCTACATTCGAGTGGCTGTGGAGGTAAGCCCTGCGCAGGAGCCGCGGGTGCCCGGCCGTGTGCGGGTTTCCCGTGCGTTGGCGCTGTGGGAGCTGAGTTGGCGCCATATCTGAGGGTGCTGGGACGTGGCAGAGGCCTCACCCTGACCCCCAGACCTCCCAGGGGCCCGCCCAGGGGCCACCCGGAGCAGGTGACTCGCACCCGTCTTCCCAGCTCCCACGCTGGTCATTGTCTCTTGTGCAGACTCAGCTGAACATCATACAGAGACTGGAGGTCGTGCTGCAGCGAGCCGTCCGCCTGGGCGACCCCCAGGCCATCCACGTGGTGTGCACCACGCAGTGGAACCTGTGTCTCCCGCTGCTGCAGCACAACCTGCGGCACCACCTGCGCAAGCCGCTGACCAACATCGCGGAGATCCTGGAGAAGATGGACAGGTAGCGCGTGCGTCGGCGCCCCGGGCTGCCCGCTCCGAGAGGGGTGACACGTGGGCGGGAGAGAGCGAGGCCAGAATTCTCCCACCCCAGGAATAAGGATGAAATCCAGCTCATTCTCCCCGATGTGCCGCACGCCGGGGAAGGCACCCACCCTTAAAGGGGGCTGGAGACGCTAGGTCTCGTGTGGAAGGAGGAGGCCCTGAGGAACTCCCTTTTCCTGCTGAGATGTGGCCTCCGGCCCCGCCCGGCTGCCTGTGGCTCCCGCACAGGGGCAGCAGGAACAAGTGCCCGGCGGGGATGGGCCCTGGGGCAGGTGCCGTGTGAGTGGGTGTGTGTGCCTCAGCCCAGGAGACCAGGGGGCAGAGGCAGGGCTGCTGTCGAGTGGGGAGCACTGAGTTGGCAGCACTGAGCGCCGTGCGGGGTGATGACGGGGAGACAGCACCGGTGGATGGAGGCGGCGAGCCCCAGCGTCACATGTCCCTCACTCACAGCAGCTCCTGCTAGCAGGACCCTGGTTTGCTGAGCTGCTGCTGCTCAGTCCTGGAGGCCAGGTCCCGGCTGTTGTCGCCTGCTGGGCTCGGGCCTCCCGTGGTCGGCAGGGACCTCCTCTCTGTGCGAGTCCTCAAGGCGAGGCAGGTGGCACCTGCAGGGTGTGGAGGCCCACTGCACGGTGCGCCCGAGGTGCTCGTGGGCGGCCAGCGTGCCCCGCACCCCATGATGCTGTGCTTGCTCTCCAGCCTCATGGTCCTGCTTCGGTGCCAAGTGCACATGGAGATGGCGCGCATCGAGGAGGACGAGGACCGCCTGGAGCCCGCCATGGAGCACCTGCAGAAGGCCATGCGCCTGGACGGCCAGGGCCTGTACCAGGAGAAGCTCAAGATGGCCTTCAACCGGCTGCGCCTCTGCTCCATGCTGTACCAGTCCCCCGAGCGTGCCGAGGACAAGGCCATCATGGCCATCGAGCAGGTGCGGCACGGGGCCCCACGGCGCCTCTTCAGAGCCCGAGAGCGCTCGGGAAAGACCGGAACCATCTCTCCCTCGCGCAGGCAAAGAAAGCCATGCCCAAAGACAGCGTCCGGAAGAAGCGGGCCCTCCTGGTGAACGCGGGCCTGGCCCTGGCCCCCGACACCTTCCAGATCGTGCTCGACAGCGAGAACGAGACCAAAGGTAGGTGCCGCCTCCCTCCCGGGGCACCAGCCTCCAGCTGCGAGGCAGAGCCCGCGCCCCCCCACCCCCACCCGCTGCGCCCTGCCCCGGGTGGGGGCCGGGAGGTCGGAGCCTGGCCACCTTGCCCTCTGCCTACCAGGCCCTGACATTGAGCTCTCAGAGCTCGTGCTTATGTGCCAGGAGGGGCAGCCTCCAACACCAAACTGCTCAAACACCTGGCGCTGGGCATGGGGATGGCAGGCGCTGGGCAGGCACCGGCATGAGGGAGAGCCAACTAGGGCCTGGGTGGCGCTGCCACGGGACCGAGCAGGGCAGGGTGACCAGACCCAGCCTGCAGCACGGTGTGCCCAGTGGCCTGGCAGCTTCCCCCTCGCACACAGGCACAGTGAGCACGACCTAACTCCCATCAAAAGACTAAACATGCCCCGGGGAGGGGTCGCTCTACGCTCCGAGCCCAGAGCCCTGGGGTTGCTGTGACGGTGGCTGCACAGATCATCCCTGGAACGGAGGTGCAGTCCCTCCATGTCACGTGACCTCTTGCATGACGTCAGCCTCGTTTGCCTTTCGTTTCTGTCCTCAGTTTCCATCGGGAGAAACAGGGGCCGGTTCACCGCCCTCTACGCCAAAGCGCGGCACCACATCCTCAGCGTGGAGAAAGCCGCCGGGCACTTGCGGCGCTTGGGGAATGAGAATGAAAAGGAGAGGTGAGTGGCGACCCGGAGAAGGACAGGTCACACACAGCCAAGCCCCCGAGCCATCGCGGCTGTCCCTCGAGAGCGGCCGTCTGCAATGGCCGAGCTGACTGCGGCCCTGGCCCCACGCGTGGTCCTGGAGGCCGGCAGGAGGCGGCGCACGGCTGGGGGGCCTGGCAGGGGAACCACCCCATTGCCCCTGAGACCAAGCATGTTAACTAAACGACGGGGGTGTGGCTGCCATGACACTGGGCTCGGGCACCCCCTACCCTCTCACCCCGTCCCCCGGGGCCAGCTCCCCCCTGCCAGGCCGCCCTGTTGCCTCTAGCCCCTGGCTGTGAGCATTGATTGTCTCATGGTCGCTTTTTTGCAACCTTGAAACTGTAGACCCACCAGTGCCTTCTGCTCAGGAGCAGTCGTTCTAGTGGTTTCTGCTTCTACCAGCCACAGCCAAGTTCACATTTTCCTTCGTTTGGGTCTTTGGTGAGCAGAGTACAGATTTGGGCAGAGCTGGCCAAGGTTGCCCGGAAGCAAGGTGTGTGGGATGTTTGCCGGACGGCCAGCCGCTTCTGCCTCCTGTACGACAGCGTCAAGGTGAAGAAGATGGCGCGGGCGAAGAAAGGTGGGCGCAGCCCCCGTCAGCGCCCGGCTCACTGCCAGGCGGCGGGCCCAGCAGGGGCCGCCTGGTCCTGGGAAGGGTCAGTGTGCCAGGACTTGAGTCCAGTGGGTCTTCAAGTGCAAACGGAATTTTATAGATGTTTGCAGCTGGCTGCAGACACTGTTCGTGACGGGGAGACAGTGATGTGAGGGTCATCCCGGGAGAGAGAGTGATCATATGTTCGCTCCCTGAGAATGTGACGGTGAATGTGACGGTGATCACAGGGTCACCCCGAGAGTGGGACGGTGAGAGTGACGGTGATGACAGGGTCACCCCGAGAGGGGGACGGTGAGAGTGATGGCTATCACAGGGCCATGATTGCTGACAAGGGTCCTCCTTTGTGCATCTGGTTTCCTATTCCATCATCTTGTTTGACTCTCACAGTCACTGTGGGGTTGTTAGGGGGTGAGAAAAGGGAAGGGACCTGTTGTGGGCCGAGTGCCGGGGCCGGAGCTGACGGCGTGGGTGAGGGGTGAGTGTGGAGCCGCCTCCGTGCAGGCGCTGGGTCCGAGATGCATCCAGGTGCAGTCCCTGGAGGAGCTCTGGTCTAGTGGGCAGTGAAGACAGGGCCTGTGAGAGGTGAGAGGCGGCCTGGGGGCGGGGGTGGCAGGCTCGGCGGGCAGAACCGCAGGAGCAAACCAAGAACGTGTAGTCTGTAGCGTCAGGTAGAGATGGGGACACCTTTGTCACCCCCCTGGGGGCCCACACACCTGGGGAAGTTTCCTCCACCCCCTCCTGGGCACAGTGCCCACCCCTCAGAGGCCCCGCCCACCCCGGAGCTGGGAGGGGCAGCCGTCCTGCCTGGTGACCTGGGGCCTTGTCTGAAGCGCTGCTGTTCCCCCAGGAAAGAAGAAGCGGGGCACGGACGGCTCGATTGATGCCAAGGCCCATTCGCAGGTCCTGCTGCAGCGGCCGGGGTCCCCCAGCCTGCTGCGGAAGTTCGCAGAGGTGGGGTTCATCAGCGCCGAGGTACGTCCCGTGCACAGGTTGGCCGGCGGGCCCGGGTCCCCTCCGGCATCCTCTCAGTCCTCCGTGGTGGCCGCGTGGGCATCCGGGGGCGCTGACCCCACCGCCTGGTGGAGTGACAGTGGTGCCACTTGTCCCCACCTCTGCTCCCTAAACGAGACTGTGTACAGGGAGTTTCCTGGGCTCTGGGGGTTTTTCTGGGAGATACATAGAAATCAAAATGTGACGTGTTTGCTATACATTTTCCCTAGAAATAGTGTCTGAGTTGTGCCTGGCGGGGGCATGGCTCCGTGACCTCTCCCTCTGCGCTGTTCCTATACAGGCCACTGTCCACTTGCTCCAGTCAGAGGGTGTGGAGCTCAATGACCATCCCAAACCCACCGAGAACCTGAGCCAGCACCCGACAGGCTATGTGCTCGAGTCCCCCGAGGAAAACTCAGAGTGGAACACGTACAAGTAGGGGCCGCGTGACTGGCGGGGTCCCCGTGTCCTCTGCCCCTGTGGCACCGTCTGTCCCTGAAGCGCGGGCTTTGTGGCCGCTGGGGGAGGTGTGGAGTGGAGGGCAGGGCTGTGTCCAACCAGGAGCGTGAGAACAGCCACAAGACTGGGGCCCAGGGTTTCCGACTCGTGTTCATTCCGACCTTCCCGTTGTTAGTAAAAGTGAGATGTTAGGGGAGTAGGGCAGGGGCAGCTCTTTAATTGGCCCAGAGGAGAAGGTGTGCGGGGTCACGCCTCGATGGCTCCCCGTGTGAATGACAGCATTTCCCTCGGAACGTCCAGGAGACTCGCCCACGTGAGATGCCTCGAGCCGGACACCTGGGCAGCGGGGGCTGTGTTAATAACGACAGTCCGAGTTGTTTTTAAATCGAATAGTACTTTTTAAAGTCAATGACTGAATGGACCGTCACGTCCCAGGAGCTGCGCCCTACGTGACTGTTCTCACCCTCGAGGGGGAGAAAGGCCTGCTCCCCTCTTCCCGTTACGCAGGCAGCGGCTCTCCCAGCCACCCGCCCTGGAGCGCGAGGAGCGCGCTGGCCGGTCTGTGCACCGGGCACCCCAACGGCCGGCTCCAGGAAGGCAGCAGGCGCCACTTTGTGCGGATAGTTTGACTTGATGGAAGGTCCCCTGTCCCTGTGGCCTTCAGAGCTGCACCAGGCGAGGCTGCCAGGCCTGTCTGGGCCCAGGCCCAGGAGTTTCCATTTGCAGGAAGGTCAGCAGACCAGGGCTCAGGCCACATCTGACCCAGGGCCTGGTTGTGTACAGCCCAGGAGCTCAGTGGTTTTGACATTTTAAAAATCTGTGAACTAACATAGAGGAAGATATACAAGAGGGAGGACCTGGAGCTGCAAAGCCTAGATACCGCCCGGCCCTTTACAGAAAGGGTTTCCCTGCCCAGTCCCGGGTGGACAGTCGTCACTCACCCACAGTGCCGAGTGGACCTGGTCACCCTGAGGAGAGGGGCCGGTGTGTGAGGGGCGGCCACGGAGGTGGGCAGGCAGCCGGGTGGCCCTGGGGCAGGATCTTGCCCTCAGACGGGGAGGCTGGGAGTTTGTAGACCAGGTACCAAGCGAGAGTGCCCGAGGGATGTCCCGGGTGGAGAAGGGGGACTGGGCAGGCCCAGGGTCCTTTAGGAGAGCGTGGCAGGCACCCCCAGCAGGGGCACCTCTCTGACCCCGCTCCACAGCCGGGGCAGGGCCCTGGGCAGACGTCACGCTGGGTCTGTGCTGCCCGTGGGGGAAGGTCTTGCTTCAGAGACGAGCGTGGCGTGTGCGTCCTGCAGGAGCTGGATCGAGAGCCTGTCGCAGTACGCCATGAACAGCTGGCTGCGGTCCGCGGAGATCGGACAGGAGATCCAGGAGCCCTGGATCGTGCAGAACGCGATGGTGTACGTCCTGAACCACAACCACCATCTCATCATGGCCGGGCGGCAGAAGGAGCTGGTGGACGCCTTGTACCACCTCCTGACCATCGTCAAGGCCGTCGGCCACAACGGGTGCGTCCTGGCCCTGGAGCGTTGGGGTCAGGCGGGTGTCCCCCTTCTTTAGCGCTGCCCCGGGGAGGGCTGCTCCAGCAATCCCAGGGTCCCCATTTACTCGCCGTGCACCCCTGAGCCAAACACTCACCCTCTCTGAGCTGCGGGGCAGTGTGTGGGGATCCAGGGGGCTCCCAGGAGCCCGCCCGCCTGCCCAGGGCCTGGCCTGGGAGCCCAGCCTGTCTCTGATGCTAAAGTAGAAATTCAAGAATTAATGAGTCAGAATGCGGCAACATACAAGCTGATGTTTTTTTTAAAGTGATGAATAATAAAGAAAATGGGCCATGAAATGAGGAGGCGCCCAGCGGCCTCCCTTCGCCTGTGGGTGTGAGGCCGGCTCGGCCTCTGACATCGCGCCTGTGGGGCTGGGGGCTGCGGGGCCTCGAGCCTGGGCCGCCGCGTGGCCGCCGTGCTGCGCGTTTCTGTTGGAGACGAGGATTTGAGTCCCCAGTTCTTAGCACACGGAGATCACCGGTGACCATTTTATTTTTATTTTTTTTTTAAATATATTTTATTGATTTTTCACAGAGAGGAAGGGAGAGAGATAGAGAGTTAGAAACATTGATGAGAGAGAAACATCGATCAGCTGCCTCCTGCACATCTCCCACTGGGGATATGCCCGCAGCCAAGGTACATGCCCTTGACCGGAATCGAACCTGGGACCTTTCAGTCCGCAGGCCGACGCTCTATCCACTGAGCCAAACCGGTTTCGGCCGGTGACCATTTTAAACGCTTTAGTGCCACCTCGTTTCTGGTGAGAAACACGGAGGTTCGGTACAAGCCCATTTGCCCTGGTGACGGATGGAAATTCTCTGACCGCTACCCGGGGCCTTTCTGTCCAGCCCACGTGGCCAGGGTCGCCTTCCACTGTGAAGGTACCTGTGTCAGGGGACAGCGCGTCCCCAGAGCAGGCTGCCACCGCCAGCTGCCCCCCTCGAGGCCCGAGAATGGCTCCTGGAGCGGGTGGCGCCTGGTGGGGGGCCACCTTTCCGCTTAATCCCAGGAGACAGGGACCCGGTGAGCACGGCTGTTGTGGACTCCGGGGACTCGCGCCTTGAGTCTGAGCTTCACCCGCTGACCCCTTGCGTTCCAGCGACTCCCTCACGTTGGCGATGCTCTGCAACGCTTTGGCTCGAGGCCTAATTATCAGCTGGATCCCAACCCAGGTGCCAGAAAAATCTAGAAAAGTCATCCGACCAAACACGTCACACACACCACTGGACTCGGGAGCCATCTCTGAGATCAGAACGGCGGTGGAGGTACAGAGGCCGGGTGCGCGGGGTGGCCCCTCGCCGCAGTCCCGGTCCCGGGGTGAAACTGTCAGCCTGTCCATCTGCCGGAAAAGGGGTGCTGAGCAAGGACAGGAACGGGCTTTTCCCTAAAAACAGGGAGCGACGTCCCTCAGGCCCAGGTCGTGCCTGTGCTGGCTTCTCAGGCGCAGAGGACAAGAGGGGTGCGAAGCCAGGAGAGTGCAGAGCAGCCGGGGCCACATCCAGAGGCTGCGAGCAAGTGGGAGCGCTGGTCCCATGGAAGTCGCCTCCCGATCAATGTGCACTTGAGGAGGAACATGGTGGTCGTGCTGGATGTGCAAAAGCACTGGCAAATCCGTCACCCGTTTCTAGTCCAGAAGGATCTTAGCCAACAGGGAGGGAAGCAAGTTCCTTAGTGAGTTTCAGGGAAGCGCAGGACCTGCAGCTGCCCCGAGTGGTGAGGAGGTGGGCGCTGGGCAGGTGCCCTCAGAGAGAAAGGCACGAGGAGCCACCGTGCCCCGTGCCAGAGGGGTGAGGGCGTGGGAGGGCGAGCCGCATGCCGAGAGAGGGCGAGCTGCACGCCGAGACCTCAGCTCCCGGCTTGGCAGGTGTTCAAGCCTTGGTAGCGGTCTGCACCAAGAGCCAGGGCCACGTATGGTTCATGATTTGGGTCTCGGCTCAGATCTCTCTCTTTAGAGTCCTGGTTGTGTGAACAAGGACACCTCCATTTCAGGTCTGCGAGTTTGCCCTGACCCTGACCAACGGGACGGTGCCCGAGGAGGTCGTGCCCATCGAAGCCCGGCAGCAGCTCATCGCCACCTGGGTGAAGGCCAAGCAGCTGCTGCAGCAGCAGATCGGGACGAGGCTGGGCACGGAGGAGCAGGTGGGCCGCGGGCGCTGCCTCCCCCCCGTCTCCCTCCCCTTGGGCCTCGCCAGCCTGGAGGGCAGCGCACAGCGGGCCGTGCCCTTCTGTACACGGTGCTCCCCTCCACAGAGGGCTGTTCCCACTGAAGTCACTGCCCCGGCCCCTCCACCTGCCCAGGCCACGGTGTTTCCCCTTCCTCCAGCCCTCTGGTCACTCTTCCAAATGTCCACCGAGCCACTGGGCCTCTGGGGGTGCTCCCCACCCTCAGTGGTGCTCACTGTGGCCTTATTTGGAGGTGTATTCAGGCCAGCGGGGGCCTGCTTTGGCAGGATATCAGGACCCTAAGCTGTGAACACAAGGCTGTGGGTGTGGGGGCTGGGGGAGCAAGTGGGGACCCGGAGAGGAGATGGGTGTGTGGCCGTAGAGGGAGCCTCCCAGGGGCACTGGCTGGAGCCAGAAGGCACTGGGACAGGTTGAAAGGGAGACCGGAGAGGCAGTGAGTGTGGGCATCTGAGCGGGTCAGGATCGAGGGCCGATTGGAGGGGGACGGAAGGAAGGCCATTCCCGCTCTGCTGGTGGCCTGCCCTCCACCTGCAGCTGGTCAGCCCCGTCGTCTGACCACTCTGCGTCACTTCCTGCCTCCTGATGGTGTGGGAAGGTCACTGGGAGAGAAACTTTTTTCTTTCTTTTTAAAAATATATTTTAATGATTTTTTACAAGAGGAAGGGAGAGGGATAGAGAGTTAGAAACATCGATGAGAGAGAAACATCGATCAGCTGCCTCCTGCACATGTCCCACTGGGGATGTGCCCGCAACCCAGGTACATGCCCTTGACCGAAATCGAACCTGGGACCCTTCAGTCCGCAGGCTGACGTTCTATCCACTGAGCCAAACCGGTGCTGGCGGGAGAGAAACTTTTATGCAAATGGCTCCGATTACTGCCACGGAGCTGGTCTTTCACAGGGTTGAAGTCCCAAGTGTGCCAGACCCTCCCTGGGTCCCCTGGGCTCACGGACACTCTGTGCGTCCTTCCCCAGGGCACCAACGAGGACATCAACGCCGTGACCAGAGTCCTTGTCGCCCTGGAGATGTATTCCTGCAACGGGCTGGGCCTCATGGACTTCACCGTGCCCTCCTTGGCTAACGTAGGCGTCACCTCCTTCCTCAGGCATCACCTTCCCCAGGTGTCACCCCCTCCCCCCAGGGGTGACTGTGCCCCCCGAGGCCCAGGCAGTCACCACCAGATGCCCTGTTGGCACGCCAGACAGAATCCCCCCACCCGAGGCCACTTGTTCAAATCCTGCTGCTCAGAGGCAGAGCCGGGGTCAGAGGGCCTTGCCGAGTGTGGCCAGCGTCGGAACCTGGCCTGCCTGAGTGACCGCGTTCTCACCAGCAACTGTTGTCCCCTCAGGGCGCCTGAGTTTAGTTTCATTCGGCTGCTTCCCTCTGTTTCCTCTGTGGCTCCATGTAGAGCAGGGTGTTCCTGGGGATACTGAGGCAGCGTGGACACCGGGGCCTCTGCCCCCCAACAGGCGACCCTGAGCCCGAGCTGGGCCTAAGTTTGCGACTAGCGCTGCGGTAACTCAGCCTCGGTGTGTGTGCCGTGGGATGGCCCTGTACCCACCAGGTCTCTCTGGAATAACATCGCTCCCTGATCCACAGCGAGGTGCAAAGTTTCAGCAAATGAAGTGGCCCCCAGCTGACAGCACCCACCACGGTGGGCGGAGGGGTCGCCCCGCACTGAACGCCCTCCCCCGCCCTCCACGCAGCTTCAGAAGATGGTCTCCGAGTGCAACTGGACGGACCCCCTGGTCCAGCTGCAGACCCTGGCCCGCCTGAGCCACTTCGCCTACGCAGCCCACGACCACGAGGTCACCATGGTGTGCTCGCAGAAGGCCATCCAGATGGGCATCAAGTACCTGAAGATGTTAAATCCGTGAGTAGCCTCCCTGGCGCCCGACTCCTGGGGACCCCATGGTGTGGCGTCTCCCTGCCCGCCCGCCCCCACCCCCCGCATCAGGAGGAACACGAAGAAGGCTCGTAACCACACCTCGGTGTGTGGGGGCGCTTGTGGGGACCAGGGATGACTTGTGTAGAGGCTATGGAGAGGTACCCCCACTCGCCAGACCCCACCCACCTCTGGGCATCCCCAGCAGCCCGGCCAGGTGCCCGTCCGGCCCCCGTCCTGGTCCCACTTGGCCAGGACAGCACCGCCCCTGGGCCCCAGGAGAGCTGTGCTCGGAAGGGCTCTGAGGCCACTCCAGCCTCACCAGCTGCCAGCGTGGCAGGCACAGAGGTGGGAAGGGGCTCACAGATGCCCCTGCCCTTCCCAACAGACACGGGCTTGGTTTACCAGGATTTTGAGTCGGCAGCAAGGCACCCTAAGTGCGTTAGAAAGTAAGTGCGTTAGAAAGTAATGAAAGGGCAATTTCAGTGAAAGGGAAATGCCCTCTCCCCGCCCCCCTCAGCCCAGGGCAGCCAGCTGCTCGCTCCCCAGAGGCCGCCGCTGCCCAGGTCCTGGGATGGCCCAGGCGGCCACAGCCGCTTCATCTTTCTGACAGTTTGCTCCCGGCTCACAGGGCCATTCAGCTGATCAGTAGATTAAGGTTGTACTGAATCTTTCCTCTATTTCCAAAGGTGAGGCTTTTAAAAATCTTTGTTGCTAATATAAATATTTCTCCAGTAAACATGGTTTTCCTTGAGGTTCTTCTCTTCAGGTCACTTCCTAAATCTGTTTCCTGAAAGTCGAAATCACTGACCCATGTGGCCAGTGCCTCGGGCATGCTGAGGGCACAAACAGGGACCCCACAAGGGCTCTGCATGCGTCACCTCATTTATTCCTCGAAGCGGCTGTTCCCACACTGCAGATAGGGATACTGAGGCAGAGGCAAAGTCACCCTGCTGGTGAGTGGCAGAGCCAGGATGGGAGCTGATCCGTACCAGGAGAAAAACAGTCATTTGAATAGAAAAAACAATCAGACCCCGACACAACACAATGCACTTAAAACAGCTACTCTAAATAAAAGAAAGGATGCTTAAGGGGCAAATTCATGTACAGGTGGAGAATTTCAACAAAGAAATGAAAACTATAATAAAGAACTAAGTGGAAATTCTAGAACTGAAAAATACAATACTCATCATGGAAATCACACTGGAGAAGCGATAGGTCACTTTGAATGAGGGTCAGCAGGCTATTGAAATTGAACCCTAAAGAACAAAACCGAAGCTCCGGGGGCAGAGGCAGGAGAGGGAGGCAGAGATGCATCCGCTTGGAAATGTGGCAGCCGAGCCCTGGCCGGGTGGCTCAGGTGGTGAGAGCATCCTCCCGGTACGCCAAGGTTGCGGGGACCCCGTCAGGGCACAGACAAGAAGCAGCCAGTGAAGGCATCGATAAGTGGGACAACACATGTCTCTCTCTCTCTCTCTCTCTCAAAATCAGTCAATCAATAAATCAATCAAGGAAATGTAGCAGCAGAAATGTTTTGAAATTGAATCCAGAGATCCAGCATTTCCGATGAGCTGCAAGTAGGATGAACACCAAGAAAACCACACCTGCTTTCATTGTGGTCAAATTGCCGAGGCCCGAAGGTGGGAGGGAAGCCTGGGAGCGAAGCTGGAAGGGGAAAAGACACACTTAATACAGGGAAACAAGGTCAGGCCTGCTGACTTCTCAACAGGAACAACCAGGACCCTGTCAATCTGGAATTCTCTACCCACCAAAAAGAGCAGCAGCTCCCCCTTGGGCTCCTGCAGGCAGCTCCCTGGCTTCAGAGCCCCAGGCCCAGGCAGGGAGTGTCCCCCGGGGCCAGTGTATGTCTCTCAGAGTCAAGTCGGTACCTCCTGGGCTGAGTTGCAGGCATGTGATCAGTCCAGCCTGGACAGGGGATGATGTCTTAGTGTGTGCGGTGTCCTGTGGGCCCAGCCTGGCTGGCTGGGCCAGTAAACATCGAGGAAGCGGGATTCCATGTTCTCCATAGCTCGCTGAGTGGGAGCTGCCCAGAACTGAGCCCCCGTGTGCACCGGGGCTCCCCGAGGGGCTTGTTCTGCTCACCGGCTGCTGTGCACAGCACCCCACACCTTAGTCACTTAAGACATCAGTTGATGCCGGCCTGTTCTTCCTCCCGGGGCACCTTTCCCTCCCCCCCTTCCCCCAAGGCGTGAGTCTCCTAAACTCAAAGGTCCCCATGAGACTTGCAATTAGGGGATCAATGGGTAGTGGCAGCTCATTCCAGGCCAAACCCCTGGCCTTGTTCCGAGGCCCCTTTTCTCTGACTTCTCAGTGAGTCAGAGATGCCCTGCCCAGCTGCTGCTTCTATGCGAAGGCCGTCCTTGTCTCACTGTCCCCAGCTTTAATAAGCGTCCACTCAAAATTGAAGAAATATTTTAAACAAGACGCCAGCTGATGCTGTCTGGTGGTTCTCTGGGTAGCCTGCACTCAGCCAGTTACTTCTGGTTTGGGGACTTTGGGGAGGCTGCTCCAGGCACCCCAGGCTCACTCACCTTTCTGCACACCCCCCCCCCCCTACAGCGCTCCTGTGTGCTAAAGCGTCTCTGTCTGCAGGGTCCAGGCTCAGCTGGTGGCAGAAATGCTGAGCGCCAGCGCCTGCATCCAGGGCAGGAGCATCATGGAGAACCTGAAGGGGCGGAAGCAGCTGCGCCTGTCAGCCAGCATGGCCTTCTTCGAGAGCGTGAGGTGCGCCATGCTGCTCTACGGCTGCTCGGATTGCGTGTGTGGTGGGTCTGGGTGCGTGTTGTGTATGGGTAAGGCCAGCTGCAGCGAGTGCCCTGAAATGAAGAGCATGACACGCAGTCGGGACTGTCACGGAGGCCGGCCCTCCCTCACAGACCCCGTGGCAAGGGTGTGTGTGTGTGTGGGGGGTCAAGGCAGGGTATTCACAGCTGGGACCCCCAGGGGTATGTCCTGCAGACATGGGCACAGGCTCCAGGCCAGACACCCGGCCTCACCCTGCCCTCAGGACCCAGGAGCTGTCGGTGGGTGCCTGCGTGTCTGCAGCTCACACAGCTCGCTAGGTCAGGCCTCCCTTTCAGGTTTGGGGGCATGGCGCAGAGCAACGCCCTGGTGATGCTGGCCGCACGGCACTACTGGAACACCCAGCTCCCACTCCTGTCCTCCGCGGCCAACAGGAAGAAAGCCAGGCACATCATCCAGAGGATCGTCAACATCATCAACAAGACGGAGACCAAAACCCAGGTGCCGCAGGGCCGGCTGCCGGGGTCCCGCGGCTGCCTCTCAGGCTCTTCCTCCAGAGCAGGCGGGCGGGGCTCCCAAGCAAAGGCAGACCCCTGGGAGCTGCTCAAGTGGCGGTGGCCCCTGGCTGAGCTCAAGGCTTAGTCCTGACCTCCCTTCCCCACTGCCCTTCTCCACCCTCCCTCCCTCCGAGAGACCCTGACCCTTCCCTGGAAAGCTCCGTAGGAGAGGAGAGGGGGTAGGGGGCAGGACCCTAGGATCAGCTGAGGAAAGCACAGAGGCTGCTGGGCAGGATGCACACCAGGGCTGGGCAGGTCTCGGCCTGACTGACATTCCCCCACCTGCACCCTATCACTAGCACCTTGATGGAGGGAACTTCCCTAGCCCTCACCCTAACCCTCCTCTCAGTGAGCATGGTGTGCCCAGGTTCAGCACGTTGGAGCCTTGTTGTGGCTGGACAGTGTTCCATGGTGCGCAGACCTCGTGTCGTTTATCTGCTCCTCTGCGGATGGACGTGGGTTGTTTCCGTCTCCTGACAGTGTGAACAGTGCTGCTGTGAACGCAGGTGCACAGATACAGTTCCTTGTCGGCTCCTTGGGGTCTATACCCAGGGATGGAACTGCTGGGGTCTGTGGTAGTTCCGTGTTTAGCCTTGGAGGAACTGTCGGGCTGTTTTCCACAGCGGCTGCACCGTCTTCCATTCCCACCAACAATGTTCACGGGTTCCAGTGCCTCCACATCGTAGTCAACACTTGTTATTTTCCATTCTAAAAAAATGTAGCCATTCTAGTAGGTGTGAGGTGGCATCTCATTGTGGTTTTGATTTTAATTTCTTTAAGGACTAATGCTATTGAGCATCTTCCGTGTGCTTATTTGTTTTTCTTGTCCAATCGCTCCGGCTAGCATTTCCAGTACAATGTAGAATAGCCGCAGTGTGAGCACAGGCGTCCTTGTCTTGTTCTTGACCTCAGAGGGGACGTTTCGGTCTTTCACCACAGAGGACGGTGCCTTCTGTGGGTTTGTTTTCAATGCCTTTCATGGTGTTGAGGGGGTTTCCCACTACTCCTCGTTCCCTGAGAGATTTTGAGATTTTGTAATGAAAGATTGGCTTTTGTCGAATGCCTTTTCTTCATCAATTGAGATGATCATGTGTTTTTCTCCTTCCTTCTGTTACTGTGATGTATCACATTGATTGTTCTCCTTATGTTGAAGTGCCTTGTGCTCCTGGGATAAATCCCACTTGGTTGTGGTGCATAATATTTTTTTTTATGCCCTTGGATTTGATTTGCTAATACCTTGTTGAGGATTTTTGCATTTATATCTGTAAGAGTATTGGTCTGTAATTTTCTTGCGATTCCTTTATCTCGATTTGCTCTCAAAATAATCCTAGTCTCATAGAATGAATGAGTTAGTAAGTGTTTCTTCCTTTTTAATTTTTTCGAGTGGAGGAGGATTGACGTCAAGTATTTAAATGTTTGGTGGAATTCACCTCTGAAGCCTTTTGTTCCGGGACTTTTCTTTATTGGGAGGTTTCTGATTGCTGATTCAATCCCTACTTGTTAGAAGTTTGTTGAGATTTTCTATTCCTTTTTGAGTTAGCGTAGGTGACTTACGTACTTTTCAGGATTCTTCCATTTCTTCTAGGCTGTCTAATTTGTTGGCGTACAATTGGCCATAGGACTCTCTGTTACAATCTGTTTTGTCTCTCCGGGCTTGATAGGAATGTCCCCACTTGCATTTCTGATTTTAAGTGTTTGTGTCTTTTCTTTTTTTTCCATGTCGGTCTAGCTAAAAGTTTGTCAATTTTATCAACCTTTCAAAGAGCCAACTTTTGGTTTCATTTATTTTCTTTTGTCTTTCTATTCTGCATTTTCTTGATCTCTGCTATAATCTTTATTATTTCCTTCTTGCTGCTATTTTGGGTTTAGTTTGCTCTTTTTCTAGTTCTTTAGGGTCTAAGGGACTAGTGTAGACATTTGGAGCTTTTGCTGCGCCTCATTGTTTTTCCCTAATGTGCTTTGATCCCACTGATTTAAAGGGACAGGAGTGACTTGGATGCCCTGTCACTGAGGAAGCTGTAGACCGGGGAGGCCTGCGTGTCCCCTACGCAGCTGACCTTGCCCTGGACAGCCTTTCTCATGGGTGAAGGGCGACTTAGTGTCTTAGAAATTTAGCTGCAGTTTCCGTCACTCGATGCGGAGGCAGACGAAGCACAAAGTGGTGAAGGCATAAGTGATAGCTTTCAAGTGCATGTCTCGTCGGTTCTGCTTCAGGAGAAAGGGGACGTGCAGCTCCTGCACCAGTGGCCGACCGCGGACCTGCAGAGCGGAGGCACCTCCGAGGGCTCCTTCCTCCCAGGTGTGCAGCCGCCGCCGTCGCACGCGGGGCCGGAGGACGCTGTGCCTCAGTCCCCGGCCCTTCTGTAAAGCCAGCGTGACCGTGGCGGGAACCGCAGGTGGCGTCTGCCGGCCGTCGGGCTGTGACAGGCACTGCCAGTGCTTTTCATGAACGGCCTCGCGTGGTCCCCGTTGTGCACAGGGCACCGAGGCCTGATGGTCCCCTTGTCCGGGGCCACACGGCCCATCCAGGCCGCCCAGGCTGCCTTGGCATCTAGCCGCTGGGTTATTCTGATGGATGAATCATATTCAAGTTCCATAAACATGTGGAGCCATTTCCTAAAAAAAATACCGATCTTAGAACAATGAAAACCATATTTTAGAATCCACGTTTAAAGAAAGAAATGACGAGTATCTGCTAATTCGCCGCCCCTGTTAGTGTCAGAGTCCTCGTGTGTGCTCAGGATGTGAGGCTGCGGTTCGAGCCGAGGTCCCTCCCGATTCAGAGACACAAACTTGACTTAAAATCGACAGAACGTGACCACGTGTAGTTAAGCACTAAGTTAGTCTAAACCCCAGCAGTTACCTGGCTGGCGGTGCTGCAGAGAGAGATGCAGGTGGCAGCCCTCGGGGGCGGCGGGCAGCGTCACGCAGGAGCCCTGGTGGAGAGCCAGCCTGCGTGGCCCGTGAAAAAGCATGACACGGGTTAAATGGAGTCGCAGTTTTAAAATTCAAATTCTAGGAAAAAACAGAAAGTGGAATGGAGCAAAGCAAGAGATTTTTGTGGAAAGATTATTTCCTAAACGTTAAAGGGGTCAAAGAGGCACAATTTCAAATACATGAACATTTAAATAATGAGAATAAAGAACATGCATAAGATGAAAAAGTCAGCACTGGGGAAATGTGCCCGGTTGGCAGCTGAGCGAGGAGCTCCCGTAACCCATCCAGAGACGCGGTGGTGGTGGTGGTGTGTGTAACCCATCCAGAGACGCGGTGGTGGTGGTGGTGTGTGTGGGGGGGGGGTCTGCTGGGGAGGCTCCATCCGCCCCCGTGGCCTCCAGGGAGGCAGTGTGTGTGTGAGTGTGTGTGTGTGTGTGTGTGTGTGTGTGTGTAGACCTGTCCCAGCCCAGGCCCCTGCAGCCCTGAGCCCTGTCCCTGCAGAGGCCGATGATGACCTGTCCCTGCGGGCCGCGCTCTACGGGCTGCTGTTCCACTGCCACGCCGACCATGAGGACTGGGAGGGCGGCCTGAAGGTGCTGGACGAGGCCGTGCAGATACTGCCTCGGACCGCGCACCGCCTGTGAGTGCGCCCCACCCTCCCACCCCGACCTGGACTCCCTGCCAGGAGCCCCTCCTGAAGCCCCAGTGCCTTCGCAGCTCCCCCCCATCAGGGATCCCCTCACTCTCCCTTTTCTGATGAATTTTTTCCATGAAGAACCCATCATGAGAAGGGTAGGGATTTACAACACGATGTCCACACAAAAATAATAAGTTTTAAAAACCGACCACAACACAAAAGCCCAAGTAACTCAGGTTCCGTTTAGTTTTATTTTTGTAAGTAAGGAAACGGACCACTACGTCCGTGTTGGGTGAATTATATACATAGTTACATTTTTGTCCTTCGATTCCAGAATGAATTCCTCTTTCACTTTCCTTTAGCTTGATTTTCAAGCATATGGTCCTCGTGAAGGCCAAGCTTGGCCAGAATTTTACAATGGAAATACAGAAGTTTAAAGACGAGAGCGAAGATTACTTGGCCCACATGTGGCACCGCCTGGCCTTGAACTCAAAGAACGTCTACGGAGAGCTGACCTGCTATCAGAACGCCATCCAGGCCTTGCAGGTGTGGCCCGAGCGGTCCTGGAGGTGATGGGGGGGGTGGGGTGAGGGGTGACGGCGGTTCTTTACGCACAGGTCAAGGGCAGCAGACGGTCCCCGTCTCTCCTCGCCCTCTCCAGGGTGGAGGGACAAGTTGCTGGCGTAGGAGCCTGTGTGCCTGTCACTGCCTGGGGGCATCTGGCTGCCCTCCCCACTGAGGACTTCCTCCCCTTGGCTGCCACGCCCCTCCCTCCCCAGGGCCCCGCCTCCTGCTCCTGTGTTTGGGGCCTCCTTTCTGCCCCCCACTTCCCCCCACACACACATCCTCTCCCTACCCAGGGTCCCCACTCCCGCTGGCCTCAATCAGTGCCTCTATGCTGGTTCTGCTCATCGACTTCCCTCCACTCTGGCCTCGAATGTCCCGCTGCCCCCTCCACTCTTCCTTCCATCTCATCTGCATGAGCCCAGCATCCCCAAACCCCTGCGGCTCCACACCCTCCCCTGTGCCTTCCCGACCTTCAGAACCCACAGAACCCACGGCAGCCCCGCCCTCCACCCTTGAGCTGTGGGATGAAGAGTGTGGGGGTGAGGGCGAGCCAGGTAAGTGGGAGGCCGGGGCGCCACCTGCTGGCTGGCGCCTTCATTCGTTGTGCAGCCAGTACTGGCCATTTGTGCACGGGCAGGCCTTGGACTGGACCCTGCACGCTGGACAGGGCACCTTCTCTGCCCTCCAAAGCCCAGTTCACCACAGAACCACCCGGATTAAGCTTCACACGCACATTCCCGCCCGTGCCGGAGGAGACCGGCCGAGGAGAGGGATGCCAGGGGCCAGTGGAGGCCGGCGTGCCAGCAACCTGGTCTGGGCAGGCGGGACACACAGGGTCTGGGGGCACTGGGCTGGGCTGCGGGTGTCTTCAGGGAGCGGAGGCCTGCGGAGGCCTTGCCAAGCTCTAGTCTCACTACTTGCTGCACATGAACACGGACCCCTGGCCCAGGGCTGAGGTCGTGATGAGCCTGGACGGCCAGGTGAGTCCCAGTGGAGGAGTCTCGCTGGGATGACTACAGGGTGAGAACGAACCATTTGCTTCTAGAAAGTGAAGCAACAAAACTGCCGGTGCCCGAGACTGTGGCTCAGTGCGTGTCAGGGTGCCGAGTGGGGGGTGCAGCGTCGCCACCCCTTTTCTGTTTAATCCCAAAGAAGCCGGAGAGCGCCTGGCATAAAGTCGACTACATCATGGAGTTCAGCGAGTGGCTGTATTACCAGCAGTTCCCCATCGAGGACGTGACCTTCCACCTGAACTGGGCCATCGACATCCTTCTGGGGATGAAACCTTCCAGGGACACACCTGAGCCAGCAGGTGAGGCGCTGCGGCCAGGGACGGCTCCTGGGCACGCTGTCCCTCCAGCTGTCCCCTCTGGCTCAGAGAGCGGGCCCTCCGGTGATAACGGTCATGATCTGGAGCCAGCCCCAGGCCACCCCCAAGGCTGCTCGGCCACGACAGTGTGTGGAGGCCGCAGAGGGGTTTGGCTTGGGGTCAGAGGTGGGGTTTGCTGAGCAGGGTGCTGGTGGGTGGGAAGCCTGGACAGCCTCACTGTGGCCACAGTCTTGGGGGAGGGGCTTACAAACTGCGGGTGCTCCACGTGGCAGATCTGGGGGAGGCCGGGGACTGCGGAACTCCCTGAAATGCCGACAGGCCTGCCCCGGGGACCCGTCCTGGAGGGAGCAGCGCTTTGGAGGAAACCAGTCCCCCTTCCTGTGGGAGAGTGGCCTCTCCTGGGCTGTGTGGGGGACTGAGGTGACCGCAAGCACCAGAGCCTGCTCTGTGGGGAGCATGACGTGTGCCAGGAGCCCGTCGGGCTGGAGAGAGGAGATGGGGCTCTGACAGCTCAGCAGGGCCGCCTGCAGGCACCACGTTTCCAAAGGCGCTGGCAGGTCGGGCTTCCTTCCCCACTTCCCCCCGTTTCCCCCGCACCCCCCAGCCCTTCTTCCCCCGCCTAGGCTGGTCCTGAGCCCCTGCTGTCAGCAAGGCTGAGGGCCTTCTTAGGACCAGGGCCTGGGGCAGGTGAGCAGTGGATACCCGGGGCCACCACAGGCAACCTGCAAAAGGGACAGTGGCCACGCCCAGCAGACGGAGGGGAAAGCGTGGCTGCTGGGCTCCTGTTCTGGGTCCTGCCCCCCTCGCCGGGGGCGTTCTCACACCAAAAAGGGGAATGCCCCCCCCCACAGCCCCCCCCAGGCAGGCCGCATGATGCTGGTCCAGGCTGGGCTGCAGCACTGAGACAGCCTCCATCCTGGCCTGCAGATTCGGGGGCCCTGGAAAAGGGCGACCCCCTGTCTGCACTAGAAGCACATGGACTCGTCCACTCGACGCCGAGCCCCCGTCAGGGCAAGCTCAGACCAACTAGGGTGACCTGCGGAGGGGAAGGTCCATCGCTCCCAACCCCCGACCCTGGGCCTGGGACCGGTGTCTCCTTGCAGCCTGGCCATGGCCACGGCACCCCAGATGTCAGGCCTGCTGTCTCCCTTCAGGGGAGAAGCCCTGGGCCCTGCATGGTGGGCGCACCTTCTATTTTTTGTTTGTTTGTTTGTTTGTATTCTCACCTGAGGATATTTTCCCATTGATTTTTTTTTTTTTGGTTTGATCACGTGGCTTCTCCTTTATTGACATTTTCTTCCGGCAAACAAATTCACAAAACTTTCCTGCTACAAAAATCTTGTTGAAAAGTAAGGCTTTCTGAGAATGGAAATCTGTGTGTGGTCAGAACAAGCCCTGTGGCCGGGAGGCCGTGCGAGCCGTGGGCCCTGAGCCCGGCCACCGCCACTGATTTTTTAGAGAGAGTGGAAGAGAGAGGAAAGACAGAGAAACATCGATGTGAGAGAAACCCATCCATCGGTTGCCTCCTGCACGAGCCCCAATCCGGGCCTGGGCCAGGGAGGAGCCTGCAGCCTGACCAGAATGGAACCCAGGACCCTTCGGTCCACAGGCCGACACTCTATCCTCGGAGCCCAACCGGCGAGGGCTGGGCGCCCCTTCTGGAAGAGGACTCAGCACCCTGACCCCGGGGGCCTGGGAGAAGGGCGGAGAGGAAGAGGCCACGGCTGCGGACACCAAGTCGGGGCGCCCTCTCTTCCAGGAGAGCCCTCGTTCGTGCAGGAGGCCCCGGAGAGCCTGGGGTCTGAGCACTTGGGGACAGTCTTCTTGGAGAAGCTGCGGAACGTGAGGCAGCTGGAGGCGCTGGCCCGCGCCCACATCCTGCTGGCCCTGGTGGGCACCCCGAGCGCCGCCGGCTACCAGGACTACTGCCTCATGGCCTACACCTTCCTCCGGCACATCTGGCAGGTGGGCCGCTCCTGCAGGGGCCAGGCTGGGGCTCAGTTTTGCTGCTTCCAAAGATTCTCTAAAGCCCAGGATGTGCCTTAGCTGGTGTGGCTCAGTGGATAGAGCGTCAGGGTCCCGGGTTCGGTTCCAGTCAGGGGCACATGCCCAGGTTTCGGGCTCAATCCCCACTGGGGGGTGTGCAGGAGGCAGCCGATCAATGATTCTCTCTCATCATTGATGTTTTTATCTCTCTCACCCTCTCCCTTCCTCTCCTCAAATCAATAAAGTTATATATATATATATTTTTTAAAAAGACCAAGACGTGCGCAGCGTGTCTCCCTGAAGCCCTGTCCCTGTCCACTTCACTTGTCAGTGCTGCGTCCTCCAGTTGGCCCCTCCTCTCTGAACCCCGCCCCCCCCCTCCCCCCGGCCAGGGTCACCCACGCTGCTGTGGGTAGTGGGCAGTCTCGCTGAAGCCTGTGTCGTTCAGACCATCAGCAACCCCTGTTGCTGGGCTTCCAGAATCTTCTCCCCACCCGCGCACCCCTTCCCCCGCACCTCTGTACAGCCCCCTTCCCGGCAGCTCTGGGCGGCCTTGTGTTCTTGGGGACCTCCTGCGGCAGTGCCGCCAGCAGGGCAGCTCTGTCCAGACAGGCCTTGCTTCTGAGGGCAGGTTTGCCCCAGGCCCCGTCCTGCCCCTCGGCAGCAGGAAGAACGGGAAGGACTCCCCGCCCCGCCCAGGATTCTGTGGGACCCTTTGGGGGACCCTGGTGTGGTTCATGGACAGGAGGCTCACGCACTGTAACGCCTCCTCGAGGATCGCCCTCACCCCGTGTCCCCGCTGCCCCCGAATGTCCCTCCTGGGGACGCTGTGGCCACCCCTGCACCCGGCTCACCGGCCGGGCCCGCAGGCTGACCGCCCCTCGGATCTGAGTGTCAGGGAGGAAGGTGGGAACGGGTGTCTGATCCTAATGTTGCCAATTTTTATTTCATTTCCCCAGGTTTCTTTATTAACAGCAGGAAAGTCATTCTCAGAAAGTAAAATCCTAGCAGCAGTTAGTTCCAATTTGTTGCTTAAAAAAGAGAAGGAGAAGGTCAAGGACAGGGACAAAGAGAAGAGCAAAGACCCGAAGCAGGTAACGGTTTCTCAGAGGTGCAGGCAGCACAGCCGAGGGCCGGGCCCCCGCGGACACTGCTCAGCGCCCCAGGCTGTGGGCCCGATGAGTGTGTCTGTGCCTCAGTTTCCTCTTCTGCAAAATGGAGGCACTGATCTCTCTGTCTCACACAGACACCCGGGGGAGCGAGGACCGTAATGGGGAGATGGGGTGTGTGGGGTGTGTGTCTGGCTTCTCCCTGGCGTTTATCCCACACCAGAGCAGTCTCAGGTCCAAGGCCCTGCAAGGGGACCCCCCGGCACCTCTGGGACCTGGTTGTGGGTGGGAGGGGCAGTGACTTTCCCATCGCGGGGGGCTGTCCCACACCCCCCGACCTTTCACCTGAGCGTCTGCCTGTCCACATTGCCGTGCTCCTGCCACCCGCCTGCCACTGTCCGGGCTGCTCTGCCCCACAGAGCTGGGCTCTTGCCTGTGCTCGGGCACCAGCGTTTACGGACGAGGGTGTGTGATGGCGCCGGTCACAGTGCACGGGGCAGAGAGCCTAAGCCGTGCTCCCCCGGGAGGGACGGACGTCCCGTCGAGTTTTGGGTGTCTGCCCACACTCCCACTGGACTTTCCACTCCACTTGGTAAAGCAAACCCTGTGTGCCCGCTTCACAGATTCAAACCCCGCTTTCCGGCAAAGAGGTGGAAGAGCCCCCCGCGAGCGTGGAGGCGTGGGCTTCCTACTTCTGCCACGAAGAGGTGATAGCCTTCTTCAGGCAGGACAGGAGCAACTTTACCGTGAACATATCCAGCATCCAGAGGCCGGTGAGTAAACCAAGGAGCCGTCCTGGCCTGGGGGGCACGCTGCCGCCTGCACTCCTGCCATCACGGCTGCTGACTCAGCGCGGCCGGGGTTTCGGCGTGAACCGTGCCCGGGGGGAGAAGCACGTGGAGGGGCTGGTCTCGGGGAGTGTTGCCTCCGCCTCCACTTGTGAGGACCCGTGTGACTGCATCGGATGATCTCCCTCCTCGGGACCTGTGTCTGATCAGACCCGCACAGCCCTTTTGCCACGTGAAGTCACACGCACAGGTCCCGGGGGCGGAGGTGGCGGGGGGAGACACACCTGGAGACTTTGGGGGCCGTGTTCAGCCCACGTGATTCTGCGTGTTTCTTGTGCTTTAAAAAGTGGAGTCACCCCGTGTGTGATCTTGGGGGTCCCGTGGGGGCAGGCCTGGGGGCTGGCTCCCTTGTGGCCCTGGTTGGTTGGCTGCTTGGAGCACTCCATGGCCCGCCTGGGCCACAATCCCCGTGTCCTTCCCGCTGTGGACGGACATCTGGGTGGTTTCAGGGGTGGGAGTCGGTGCCCACGGGTCTGGAGGGCACGCCCACCAGCAGGGTTTGCGGGTCGCGGGGCATGTGTGCCTCCAACCTCGATGGGCATCGCCAAGTGCCTCCCACAGTGGCTGTGTCCGTGACACCCCTGAGGGAGCGAGCTCCTGCTGCCACATCCTCACCCGACTGGCTCCCCTTCTCAGCTGTGGCCCTCGGGTGGACGTGTGGCGGCTGCGCAGGTGGCTCCAGCGAGGCCTTCACCTCGCAATGCCTGTGGCCACGGTGTCCTCTGTGTGGCCCCCTGTCCAGTCCGTTGCCCACATTTTATTTATTTATTTTTTAAATATATTTGTGTTGGTTTCAGAGAGGAAGGGAGAGGGAGAGAGAGATAGAAACATCAATGATGAGAGAGACTCATTGATTGGCTCCCTCCTGCACGCTCCCTACTGGGGATTGAGCCTGCAACCCGGGCATGTGCCCTGACCGGGAATCGCACCGTGACCTTCTGGTGGTTCATAGGTCAATGCCTAACCACTGAGCTACATCGGCTGGGCCTGCAATCCACTTGAAGTTGGTGTGTATGGGCCTGGGGAAGAGCCGTTTCCCCTTCTTGAGGTGCCTCATTTGTCAGGAGGCGAATGACCGGCCACACATGCCGCTGTCGCAGGGTCTGGATGCTGAGCTCACACCCTGTGTGTGCCGGTGGAGAGCGTGGCCCTTGGTCGTGCGTCTCCTGGCCGGCTCCCGAGTCGGCTGCTCCGATTCCACGGAAACCCCGTGAGATCTGGCTGTGACGCGTGGAGGCTCAGGTGGAGGGCAGCACGGGCATCTCTGCCGCGCTCTCACCCCACAAGCTCTCGCCCCACGGGCTCTTGCCCCACTGGTTTGGATGGACTTCTGGGTAGGCCTTCTGGGCCCGGAGCTTCTATTTGGGAAGATTTAAAATGATGGATCCAATTCACTCAATAGTTAAGAAGTCCTCAGAGTTCTATTCTTGTAATGATTTTTGTGGGTTGCGTTTTTCTTGGATGTTTCCATTTAATATTAAAAAAATTTAATTTTGGCTTCGTATTGTTCTTAACGCCCTTTTATGATCTCTCGGTGTGTGGGGAGTCTGCGAGACATCCGCGTCTCTCCCACCCCTCGTTCTCGACCGGCCTCCCTGGGCGTCATCAACTATCAGTCTCTCCGGGCCACCCAAGGCCACTGGGCTGGGGTGGCGCCCCCAGAGGGCTGCACTCCTCCACACCCCTAGCTGTGCGGTGCAGCCCTGCGGGGACCCAACCTGGGCACTGAGCTTTCGGGGGCCCTCAACCCCCCAAACAAAGTCAGAGACACCATTCAGCCTCTTGGCCGCCTCTTCCAGCCGCAGACAGCCCATGGCAAGTGCACCCCAACATGTCAGGGTCCCCGAATACCTGCCTTCTTCCAGGTCCTGGCCCAGTAAGTTTTCTCAGTGATGTTCACTCTTTCAGTGCCTTTAAGTAGGTTTTTAAAATAGTTCATCCAACTTTTCTAATTTTCCACTGAAGATGAATTATTTTTATCAAATCTAGTGCAACATTATAAGAAGTATTAGTTGTGTGTGTCCATAAAGAAATTCTTTTAAGAAAAACAAATTTTGCTTTTAATGGATTGGTAGTTTTTAGTGAAAAAATAAATGAAACAAAAACATTAATTTGAATACATTCATAAATGGATTGTTTCTTGTGAGAATCTTTAACTGTACTTGCGTGTGGTAAGTATAGGTCATTGCACGCGACAAGATGGGAGCTATTCATGAAGGAGGGAAGGAGGGAGGAGGTCATTCATTCATTGAACAAGCACTTGTGGGACGGCCGCTGTGGGCCAGGCACGGTGCGTGGCACCGAGGAGGACAGAGTTCTCCGGAGAAAGACCCCGTGGGCGAGCGGGCCAACCTGCCTTCCCCCTTGACCGTCCATGTTGGTTGTGTGTTTGTGCAGACATACACTTTGTATTTTCTGGACCATCTGGTCAAGGCCCTGCAGAAGATGTCCCTCCATGAGCTCACAATCCCGGTCCTGCAGTTGGGCGTCCTGATTTCAGCTTGCGTGGTGGACAGCAAGAGCCTCAAAGATCTCTACCACCTCCGGTCGGTATCCCCGCTTCCCTTCCAGGGAGATCTTTTTTGTTGTTGTTGTTAAAATCTCTGCGGGCTTCAAATCCTTTCAAAATAAACAGTAACTGCCCTGGCTGGTGTGCTCCGTGGTTAGAGCATCAGTCCTCCCACCGAGGGGTTTTGGGTTCGATTCCTGGTCAGGGACACGTACATGGGTTGCAGGTTCAATCCCAGGCGCTGGTCAGGCCGTGTGTGGGAGGCAACCAAACGATGTCTCTCTCACATCAATGTTTCTCTCTCTCTCTCTCTCTCTCTCTCTCTCTCTCTCTCTCTCTCTCTCTCTCTCCTCCTTCTCTCCCCCTCCTCCCTCTCTTCTACTCTCTAGAAATCAGTGGAAAAAATATCCTCAGGTGAGGATTGGCAAAAATAAGAATAAACAGCCACTTTGCATAGTGACAGATGGTTGGTTGTGACTTAGGGAGGGGATCACATCGTAAGGAACATCAGTGTCAAACCACCATGTCGTCCCTGAAACTGATGTAATATTGCAGGTCAGCTGTACTTCCATGACAGTGTCTTCAGTTTTTCATAAGAACCAAAGCAGCGCATGGCGGTGATGGGTGGTCAGGGTGCCGCCCAGCATGCCTTGTCTGCACCTCGGACAAGGTGGCCCCGAGATTGGGAACCTGCATTTAGTCAAAGAAGTGAACGAAGGTGTCAGTTTTTCTCTAACTGGAATTGGATAGAGTCGCCTCTTCCTTTTCCCTGGTAATGCTGTTTAGCTTGAAAAATTATTGAAAATACCATCCCATTGTGCGTTTCTTTCTCGAGCGCAGGGAGCGCAGTGCAGCCCGACAGGCCTGCCGTGTCCCGCGTGACAGCTCCTGCCGTCCCCTCCCCAGGCTCGCCCTGGTCTGCTCCGACCTGAAGCTGAGAGAAGCAGCGGCCCTGCACGAGGACGCGGCGGCCCTGCACGAGGACGCGGTGGGGCAGGTCTACATCGGGGAATCGGAGCAGTCCAGGTGCGTCCTGCTGCCGAGCTCAGCGTGGCCCGGCCCCCACTGCCTAGTACGCTGGACAGTGGGTGTTGGGAGGACCCGGGGTACAGAGCTCAGGGGATCAGGGTCTGGGGCGCTCTGCTGGGTGCAGCTTCTTACTTACTGACCCTCCTGTGCACGGGCATCTCGCAGGCTGCGACGGCGCGAGGGGAGGGGAGACAAGGGACCCAGAACGTTCATGGGTCTGGGTGCAGCGGCAAAGGCGAAGGCGAGGGCAGCGGGCATGCGGAGGGCACGCGGGGGAGGCGGGCCCGACAGGAGCCTGGCCCGTCTCGGCGGGTGGAGCTCTGTCTGGACGTCCAGGGCAGGAGGGCAGATGCACCGCTGGATGCATGAGCCTGGAGTGGGAGAGACAATGGGCGAGAAGCGTGGGTCTGGAGTCCTGTGCGGTGCTGCCCGATCGTGGGGATTTTAAAAATCTTTGGATGCTGGTGAAACAACCTTCTTCAGCATGTTGCCCGTTTCACTCCCGTTAGCTGCAGAAAGGAGATTGCCCTGAGGAAGGAGAAGACCAGGGAGCCGTTGCTGGAAGAAAGCCTGCCGACGCTGACCGAGCCCCCGCCTGCCGTGCCGCCAGGGGAGATACGGCCCCTCGTGGCGAAGGACCAGGTAGCCGGGCTCTGCCCTGCCCAGCGAGGGGGCCCTCGGGGTGACAGGGCTGCAGCTGACCCGGTGCCTGTCTCCACTGCGCTGCGCCCAAAGCCCTGTGCGGCGGTGTCCTGGGAACTCCCGGGACGGATGGCGTGTGTCCCCTCCGTGGCCCTGCTGGTCCCCGGGGAAGACGAGGCTACAGACCAACCTAGAAAGGGCCCACTAGGGCCCGAGCAGCGATTCAGAGAAGACAGCCTGGGTGGCACTGAGGAGTGCAGCCTGAGGGGTGCAGAGCACGGGGCTGGGAAGGGGCAGGGCCCTCGCAGCCAGAGGGCGTCTGTGGGTCTGACCACTTCCCATGCTCCCTCTACTCCGTGGGCTCCCCTCCCGTGGGCTGGCCCATTAGGGAAAGCACTCACAGCCACCACAGTGGAGACTTGGTGGGAAGACGCCAGACAGGACCTGGGGTGTGCAGGCTCCTGCCGGGGGCGGGCTGTGTGGGACCTGCACCAGGGGCGGAGGGCCCCTGTGGTCGTGCTGAATTGCTGGAGCTCAGCGACCTGCCCCACGCTGGTCAGGGTGCTGCCTGGGCCAGGAGAGGGGCCCCAGAGCGCGGAGCACGGGAGGGAGGAGGGCCGGCCCAGGACCCGGCTCAGGCAGCTGGGTGGCTTGGTTGGGTGAGAAGAGACAGGTGCCCAGGAGGAAAGCTGGGCTTCGGGCGTCGGGCACAGACCTGGACATCAGAGGCAGAGCCGGCCTCGGTGTGTTACAGATTCTGAAGATGAACGGAGAGACGGGGCGAGGCCTGGAAGGCACGTCCTTTCCCCTCCTGTGGACCCTCAAAGCGGAAGTTCTGCTTGACATGGATTTGTACCAGCCCGCGCGGCTGCTCCTGTCCGAGGCGCAGCAGGCCTTCCAGGTAGGGCCGCCTGCACTTGCGCCACCCGCACCCACCGCTGGGGCAGCGCCTTGGCTGTCCGGAGCGAGTTTGGTGTCTTCTGGGTCTAGAACACGCGTGTGGTTCTCTGTGGAAAGTGCCTTTCATGCCCTTGTCTACTTTCCTGGTCGCCCCGCACCCATGGCCCAGTTTCCTGCGGGGCCTGCTCCCACGCTGCCCTGGGTCCTTTCTTGCGTTGCAGGGTCCCGTTCTGTCCTTTTGGGCATCTCAGTGGTACGTGTGGGGTGAGGGTGAGGACCTGGAGGGTCCCATTCTGTCCTTCCTCCAGGGCAGATGGGCCAGCCACCCCCCCCCCCCCACCGCCGCCATGAACTCGTTCTCACTCATTGGAGGTCAGCCCGAGACCTGCACACACCTGTCCCAATGGGGGTGTCTGTGGCCTCTCTGGGGTCTCGTTCTCCAGCTGGGCCCTTGCTTTCCTCCTGGGCTGTGTCTCCCACGAGGGGATGCCCTGGGGGGAAACCCAGGACGGAGTGGAGGCCCAGGTGTGCGTCCCTCCTGCCAGCGTCAGGTGCTCTCCCTGCTGCAGACAGAAGTGTATTCCCTGGGAGGGTCACTTGTGAAGAACTCCAGAGAGAGGAGAGTCCCTAATAAACGTGGAAAGGCTCCGTGGCACCAGCAAAGCCTCAGGACATTCCATTCTCAGTTTCAGGCACTGGGACAGGTGTGTGCAGGCCTCAGGCACGGGGACAGGTGTGTGCAGGCCTCAGGCACGGGGACAGGTGTGTGCAGGTCTCAGGCATGGGGACAGGTGTGTGCAGGTCTCAGGCATGGGGACAGGTGTGTGCAGGTCTCAGGCATTGGGGACAGGTGTGTGCAGGTCTCAGGCATTGGGGACAGGTGTGTGCAGGCTTCAGGCATGGGGACAGGTGTGGGCAGGTATCTCTCGGCTGCTCTGTCTCAGCCTCTTCCCCAGCACCCTGTCAACCAGCCACTCATTCTGAGAGTCTGGGGCTCTGCCCTCCTCTGGCTCTTCCCTGGGTGTCTGCAGGGACTGGGCCCTGTCCCCATGCTCTCCTGGGGAAGGCTGCGCCTGCTCCCACTGTGTCCTCACAGCAGCCCAGCTGTCACCAGTCCCTCCAGCTGTACCCACCAGCTTCCGGCGCTGTCCCTGCTTTCTGAGCAGGTGCCCAGCCTCCACACCCACCTCCTCTCTGTGCCCACCTCCGCTCTCCCCACTCCAGCCCCTGTCCCACCACAGTTGCATCCGAGCCTGCGCTGGCCCCTCGGGGGCTGTGGCTCTTGGGATGAGAGGTTTGAGCCCATCACGCCTCCTGTGTCAGCCGCTGAGCTGCCTGCTGGCGGCTCTCTCCAGGCCCAGCCTCCCGGGCTTCTCCCTGCCTCAAAGCCTGGGCTCAGTCCAGAGGCCAGCGAGGCCCCGTCCCACCCTCCCGCCCCACACCCCCTGACATGCGTGGTGCACGGAAGACAGAGGCAGCCCTGGGCCAGCATCAGGATAGAGACTCCAGCCTGGGGGCCAGGCCTCAGGGGAGCCCTTCAGCTGCGCCCCAGGATGGCTGGAGGGTGCTGGAGCCGCTGCCGAAGGGGGCTTCCCAGGGCTCTGACCATGGTCCAGAGGCCTGCAGGTGGGTTTTAGCACAACAGGCTCAGGCCCACCCGGTGCCGGGGCAAGTGTACAGGTGCCTTAGGGCTGGAGCGGCGCCCAGTGCGGGACGCAGGTGTGGCAAGGCCTGCTGCCCGGAGCCGCTGCCCTCCTGTCTGTCCCCCTTTCTGTCGCTCCACCTCTGTCTCTCTGTCTGTCTCTGTCTCTTCATCTCTTTTCTCTGGCTCTCTATCTCTGTCTCTATCTCAGTCTCTCTCTTGCTCACTCCCCATCCTGTCTCCATATATGTTTGTCTTGTGTTAGGAGCTTAAGGATCCTTGTGCAGAAGCCAGATGCCTGCAGCTGCTGGCCCAGTTGGCCAACAAGGAGAAAAACTACGGCCAAGCCAGGAAGATGATTGAGCTTGCGCAGCGCCTGGGCGGCGGCGAGGAGTTCTGGTACCGGTCCACGCTGACTCTGGCAGACACGCTCTTGTCCATGGGGAAGGAAGGAAAAGAAGTGATGGTGAGGAGAGGCCAGCGCCTGTGCTCAGCAGGGAGGGCCATGGGCTGGAGCCCTGCTGACGCCCGTGTGCGCCCCGCCTCCCCCCGCCCCGCCCCCCCAGGCCTGCCAGCTGTTCCAGAGGCTCATCGAGGTCTTCGGGGTGCTCAAGAAACAACGACCCAACCGCACGCCCGTCCTGGAATTCATGACCACAGACCTGGAGGCCAGGTAGCTCCTGTGGGAAGCGTGCTCACGGCCAGGCGGAGGTCAGGGACTCGCACCGGGGGCCACGCGGTCACCCCGCCCCCCCAGCAGCTATGCACCCCTCACACCTCCGAGGAACCATGCGTCTTCCTTCACGGCCACTCGGGCTGTGGGCCCCTCGGAGCAGCGTGTACTTCCTTCCAAAGACGCAGGTGGCCTCGTCAGGTTCCTGACTTCTCGGGGAACGGCCCTCCTTGCCCCCGAGCACGCGTGGGCTTCCTGGGGCCTCTCATGGGTGGAGGGACGGGCACCACCAGCTGGGCGCTGGGGGTGGAGGTGGGGGTGCTCCTCCATCCATGGCAGGGCTGTGCTGGGTTGGGGCGCAGCCGCCTCCCCTCCTCTGCTCTGGCTGGTGTTCAGAGCCCCCTGTCCGTCCCCGGAGACACACCAGGCTTTCTCCACCCGCCTGGGCTTTGCTTTGGGGACAGAACTTTGAACAGCAGCGCTCTTTCCCCCCTCACTGTTCGTCTCTCAGACTCTCGGCTGGTGTTTGAGCCCTTATCCTGGTGGTCTGGTGGCAGAGATGCTCACAGCCTCTCTTATAGCTTCTACCCAGGCCGCCCCTGGGGTCTGTCCGTCTCCTCCTCGACCTCAGAATCGCAGAATCCCGTGCATCTGACTGTTTCAAAGAAGGCGCTTTTGCGCCACTGGCCAAAGCAACAGGGATTTTGTCTCATGTTGGATTCCTCTATTTTCTGCCTCTTCTTTGTCCAGTTCTCGTTCTGTGTTGGCGAGAGGCTGCTGGGGCGCCCCTCGTTCCCACCCCGAGTCCACCACTTAGTCCACACGCCTCCTGCCTCCTGTCTGGGCACACGCCCCGCACGCCAGCGTGGCTCTGATTTTCCCGACGGACACCTGGGGGCGGGGGCTCTCTAGCTGCACTGTCTTGTGACTGAAGAATGCGGCTGATGCGACTTCTGCTCCTTCCGGCATTGGGGGTGAAAGGTGGAGGCCCTGGTGGCTCCACGGGGACGGCCGCTGCGTCCCAGACCCGTTGGCCGTGTCCCCTCGGCCGGTGTCACGTCGCCACATGTTAGCGGAACCGAAAGTGGAGTGTCCGTCCCGCCCCCACAGGAGCTTGAACCTCCGGATCCGAGTCGCCCAGGAGTCGCTGGGCAGCGAATCGTCTGAATTCCCGTTTTTGCTGAGCGAGCTGTATGATCAATTGTTGGAAATTGAGGAAAAGTTTGTCAACTGTGGCTACAAAGAGAACTGTGTGGACATAAAGCTGGAGCGGGGGAAGATAAAGAGGTGAGCGCTGGCCGCCGGTCCCACCGGTGGGGGGAGCTGTCCCTGGAGGCTCCTGCAGGCCCGTGCCGGGCGCTGGTGCCAGGTGCCCCGTGCCGGCCGCCGGCCCGGCTGAGTCCCTGCACAGGCCCTTCTCCGTCCTCGGGTCCTCGCGCTGCCGCTCATCCCCCTCTCCCCCCCGCACCCCACAAGCTTTCCTCCCTGTCACCAGCCCCCGTTGGCCCCATAGGGCTTCCTCCTGGCCCTGCCCTGTGGCCCCCTGCATCGCCCGTGGGGACGCCCTCATTGGGGGTGTGCAGCCACTTGGGGTGCCCCTCAAGGAAAGCTCGTCACGGGTGTCCTCGCTCCTGTCCTGCCCCCGGGTGTCCCACCTGCTCAGTCTCTGCAAACACACAGACACGCCTCACGGCCCATCACCCCGACCCCAGACACAGCCCTTCCCACCACCCACACCACACGCATGTCAGGTGTTCAAACAGCTTTGAGGAGGGAAAGGACCTGGACGTGTACGGAATGTCAGTCACCTCACGGGGACAGATGTAGATGGTCGTCGTGGGAATTCAGACATGCAGACGCAGCCTGGGGACAGCAGGGGACAGGCAGCCGACGCTGCGGGGCCCCCTGGGCCTGGTGGGAGGCGCCGGTGCCCGTGCCCCTCTAGGAAGGTGATTGCACTGTCGTGCTCAGATATGTTGATAATATCTGTGCATGTATAACGTCGCCTCATTGCATGTGAAGCACTAATACACGCAGAGTACAGTCACACTGCACATTGGGTCTCTGCCGCCTGCCCTTTGTCCTGGGAAGGCTGTGCGCCCAAATGGAGCCGGACGAGGACCGGAGGGCCGCGTACTACCTGGAGGCCTACGACGTGGCGCAGAGCGCCGTGGCCGAGGAGGAGGAGCTGGTGCACAGTGTCCAGAGCCTCCTGGCCCTTCAAGACGTAAGTGTGTGTCCTGGACCCGGGGCCGCAACTGGTCTTCCCCTGTGGTCACCCGGAGAAGAGGCGGCCTGCACTGCCCACGCTCCCTGTGGCCACCGGGGGGAGCTGACCCAGGGGAGGCTGCCTGGGGCCCCGGGGATGCAGCTGGGGTTCAGGGAGAGTGGGGTGGCGGGAGGGAGGGAATGTGGGGTGTGAGGGGGACGTCCCCTTTCTTCATTGTGGTGATGGCTCTTTGGGTGTCTTCGTCCGTGAAAACATAGCAACACGTCAGTGATGCCTCATCAAAGCAGCAAACGGACGCTGAGCCTCGCCAGAGGCTCCGGGGTCTGACCTGTCCCCAAACGCGTCAGTTACAGAACGTCAACACGCCCCTGGCGAGGAAGCTGGCGCACCTCAAGCTGAACCTGGTGGACGTGTACCTGGACATGTTTCAGCTGGTCTGGGAGGAGCCCCTGGAGCGCGAGCTGCGGCAGGACTCCATGGAGAAGCTGCTGGCCGACTACCTGCAGAGCGTGAGCGACTTGACCACCAGCGGCCTGGTAATGACCCGCGGCCGCCTGGGCCCGTCCGCGTGGGCCGTCGTGCTGTGATGGGGGCTCTGCCACTCTGAGCAGAGGACTAACCAGCGGGAATCAGGCCCGGAGCTCACAATGCACACCCCTCAGATCTCTGCCCTGCAGCCCCCCGTGGCCCCCAGCTGCCCCCACAGCTTGGGGAAGGGCCTCATCTGGTCATCGGAGGGAACCTCATTGGCTAATGAAACCGGGTCACGTGGGGGATGTTTCCCGAGCGCACGAGCTTCCTCCCGAGTTCTGAGTTTGCTCTGACAATTCTGCCGGCGCATGAAAAAGTCCATAAGATGAATCACATTTTGTTAAAAAAAAAAAAAAAAAGTTTAATTGGCAAATTATTTGTTTCAAAGGAATCGTTCTGCCATTTTAGACATTTTCTTAGATTTCATGCATTCCGAATCGAATAAATTTGATATAACTATAGATGGATGAAAGATAGTCCTACAATTGAACTGGATACAAACTCGTGCTTGTCACTGAGCCCTAAATTGAGGTTCGATATGCAAACCTTAGCGACCCTCCCATTACCTAAGCCCTGGGGACCCTCCCCACCGGCAGGAGGGGTGTTTCTCAGACGGCTCCTGTGTCCCCACTCCCGGGGCGTTCAGGGTGGCCCCGGGGGCGTTGGAGGGGGGCCTATTGCATTTTCTGGGGTGTGTGTGTGGGGTCACTAACGTGGTTTGTGTTGAAGGGATGGTTCACGCTGAAGCGGATTCTGGCCCACGTCGCCCTGGCGCAGCTGGGGAGCCTGCAGCTGCTGAGCGTCAGCTGTGTGGAGATCCGCGCACGGCTCCTGGGCCTGGTGGGCCGGGCCTTGCGCCTGCTGGCCATGCAGGCGGACCCCGTGCGCCCCACATTCTACTGGGAGGAGAGCCTCCTGGTACGTGCTCCCGCTTCTAGCTTGGCGCCAACCCACTGTCTGTGCTCCAACAACACAAACTAAGCATTTCAAACTCCCCTGCTCGCAGCACCAGGATGTGAAATAGGCCTCAGATTGTCCTCAGGTAGGAAGGGTGGTGTGGCCGGAGGCGGGGAGAAGCAGTCTCGCCAGTGGGACCCCTGGGGCAGGAGAGAAAAGCGGACCTCTGAGAGCAGACAATGGACGAGAGCCGCCTGTCCCTTTATAAAGTGGAGGTGGTAGAGAGGGGTGCACGTGGGGGGTCCCCGCCCCAAACATGATCTCGGCTCATGGTACCTCCCCGACCTCAGCAGCTCTCCGCCCCGCAGTCTGGAGTTGCCTGGGTGCAGGTGCTAGGCACACGGTCCAGGGAAGCCCAAGCGAGCTCTGAGCCCCGCCCGCCGGCCACGTGGTCATGCAGGCCCCCCTTCTCTACCCCCTGGCGAGGCTGCCCAGCAGCTCAGCGCCCATGGGTGCACACGACCCCTTAGTAGGAACTGGGGACAGCGCTGCCACGCGGGTCACTGTCCTAAATGCCTCTGCAGACGCCCTTCCTCCACCCCTGGGGCAACCAGGCTGGGCCCCACACCCGGTCCCTTAGGAGGAGCCCTCTGGCCCCAGGCAGATGGCTCCGCACCCTGTGTGATTTGGACCTGGTGCCCCTGCCTCCCCGTTCAGCCTGGTCCACGGGCCCCGTCAGCCCCTGTGGGCTCTCTGTCCCTAGGACCTAGGATAGGACTCACATTTGGGTGAACTGAGGGGTCTGGCCCCTTGTTCAACAGGCATTTGTTGAGCACCTGCACAGGTGGCCTAAGTCAGGTGGAGGTAGACCAACGCCCCTTGTCCACACTGGGGCCTTGGCCATGAAATGGCGCTCACAGCCCCCTGGGAGGGCTGTCAGGGAAACGTGCACTCACTCCCAGATGGCCAGGCAGGGCTTTCAAGAAACCCACCCACCCCGATCCAGCTCCTTCCCAGCCCAGGTTCCTCTGGCCCTGCCTGCCATGACCCCACAAACTCAGGGCTCCCCTCAACCCAAGTCCTCTTGGGCCCACTGCATCCCAAAGAACCCCATCAGGTGGCTTGTTCTACAGACAGGCTGGCACAAGTCTCATGGTCCCCTGCTCCCTGGGGCAGGCGGGTCACAGCTGCACAGGGCTGCTGGGCACTGCGGCCCAGGGAGCCTGGGTTTCCAGGACTGAAGGGAAGTGGGTATGGCATGCGACCGATCGAGGCCTCTGCCGCCCGGGCTTGCTTCTCCAGAGCTGCTCCCCGTCGGCTGCACCTGCCAGCTGGGCCCTCTCGGGGGATCCTGCAGAGTCGCCTGACCCACAGGCACTTCTGGGGCTGGGCGGTGTCTCGACAAATGCCAGCTGACTGGAGGCATGTCCCCTAGATGGGAACAGAGCACAGCAGCCTCAAGTATCTGGTGATAACCCCGGACGAGGGGGACAGCGACGAGCATGGCAGCAGCCAGCCAGCCTCCAGGACGGTCCCTGAGGAGCGGAGCAGGAAAAGCTCAGAGCTGAAGGTACAGCTGCTCCTGCCCGCCCGCCCGCCCGCCCGCCACGCCTGCCCCACCCGAAGAGCCTGCCTGGGCCTGAGCCTGTGCCTGCACCCGCAGAGGAGGAAGGTGCTGGCCCAGCAGTACCTGGCCCAGGCGACTGAGGTGTTGCTGCAGTGCCTGCAGGTGGCCCTGGGAAACAGCCTCCTGGAGGTTGCAAGGGCCGCCAGCCTGGAGATGGTGGAGTGCATTGGCACCCTGGACCCCACGGCCACCTGCCAGTTCCTGATGCTGTCTCAGGTGTGGCTCTGCTCTGGGCACCCTCCGGGCCACCTTGGGAAGGGAGGGAGGCCCCAGCACCCTGTGCCTCTCCTGCTGGTGGCTCCGCCAGCACCAGCTGGGCTGTGGCTGGGGCCTGTGTGAAGGACGGTGCTCACTTAGAGGAGAGGCCGTCCTCCTGAGGTTCCCCTGAGCCCAGGCCCCTCCTCCCCATGTCCTGTGGGCCCACGAGCCTGGCCGGGCCTGGCCCTCGCACTCCCTCGGTCTGTTCCAGAGCTGCTCAGTGTCAGAGATGATGCGGGGCGTCCTGCTCTCAGCCACGGCCAACACCAGCAGCTCGCAGCTGGCGGCCCTGCTGCACCTCGAGGACAGGCTGAAGCGCCAGGAGCGGACCTCCACCAGCCAGTTTGCCAGTGTGGAGCAGAGGCTGGCTGCCATTTCCAAGGTGACTGAGCTGGGGACGCCCTCGAACCCTGGTCAGCTTTTGCACACTTGAAGCTCATTTCATCAGAAAGCAGAAGTGAGTGGTCAGCTCAGCGGGGAGGGGGTGGCGTGCAGGAGAGCAGGCAGCTGGAGCCTTCTGGCCTTTGTCAGACCTGTCAGTGCATGGGCCCCAGGGGAAGGAGGGACACAGGGCTGACAGGCAGGGAGAGGGGACGGGGTGGCCTGTGCACACGAAACCGTGTGCATCTGTGCCCTTGACTGTGCACATGCGCGTGCATGGCTGCGTGTGTGGTGTGCTGGCGGGAGGAGGCTCAGGGAAGAGACTGCACTATTTTGGTCTGCGTGCACGTGTGCTTTGGGTCATGCAGATCAGGTTTCTGACATTAGTGAAGAGCCAGGTAATTCTGTGTGCATCTGCTGCCCCCTTGTGGTGGCCATGAGCTATGCAGAGCTCCTGCCTCAGCCCCAGCCCAGGCAGAACCCCGGCTGCCACCCTGCTCACCCCCCTGCACCCCATTCCCTGCTGGTCTGTAACCTCAACAGAGATGATGATGAATCCAGCAACCCACCCCACACTGCACAGGGGTTCGCTGATCTCTGTTTGTCATACAGGCGTGGCAGAACCTCTCGGTCACTGAACAACATTTTAACCACTTAAATGAGATTCCTCCCACTTTTCGGATCCTCTCTCTGCACCACTCCCCTGACAGGTAGGCCGATTCCTATTCTTATGCCTGCCCCCCCACCCACAGCAGGGTCCTGGAGGCCACGGTGCCACCTCCTGACCGTAGTGGGGCCCTGTGTGTCGAGGGTCACCACTCGGGTGGGGCAGAACCAGTTCGCTTGTCTGGAGAGAAGGTGGCTGGCCCAGCCCCCGGCTGAGGCCACCGATGGCTCACAGCTGTGTCCACATGGGCCTGTTTTAGTTCTGCATCTTGACTTCGCCAGGCACTGGTGGGAGGGTGCTCCTGTTGGGGGTGCACGTGGCTCACAGAAGCTGCGTCTTGGGGGGCTGCTCTGGGACCCTACGAGCTGGACTTTGACCCTACCCTGCACCATCCCTCCTGCTCACAGGACCCATCTGTATGGTGCTGTCTATGAGAAACCCAAGTTCATCCCCACAGCCAAAGGGAAGTTGGTCCAAGTCGGGGGTGAGTTCCTGGAGCAGGTATTGACCCAGCGCTGGCCACACCTGCGACCTCCAGACACATGTCCCTCCTGTGGGCGTGGTGACCCCCACACTCCATTCCTCTCACCCCCCGGGGGTTGGGCAGGTTCAGCACAGTCTGGTGGGAGGCATCTCAGAGTGGAGAGCCCCAGCCACCAGCGGGGTGACACCCGCACCGTCTCTGAAGCTCATCCTGAGTGACCAGGACTCTGTCCACAGCCAGGACCAGGCCCTTGGGGAAACCCCTGGGGCCAGAGCACTAGCCCAGCTGCCCGAGCTAACCCCGTGGGGGGTCTGCCGCCTCAGCCCATGTCAAATGCCTCGTTTCTGTTTTCCCTTCTTCCCTCAACCTTTCGGGCCCCTGCCCTCCCAGCCCATCCTCCTGCCTGAGGGGGTCAGTCCCTCACCCCAGTGCTGGCCGGGCGGGCGCGAGGGTCCGCCCCCAGGCGGGCGAGCCTTGTGGAGAAGCCCTGTGCCCACAGCTTGCTCAGGACCAAGGGCTGGTCTGCGAGGCCGGGTGAGGGGCAGCCGCAGTGTCTGTCTCCACAGACGCCTGCAAGGTGGCGCGGGTGGCTGTGAGCCCGGCCGCCTTGTCTGGCCTGGTGGCCAGCGCCCAGCAGTTCCGGGAGCAGAGCCAGGCTGAGGTGTGCAGCAGGGACAGAGCCCTGATCTTCGGCCTGGTGAGGCCCCAGCCCAAGCCCAGCTGTCAGGGCTGCCACACTGTCAGGGGACCGGGACCCCCGCCTGGCCGCAGTAAGGGGGGGGAGCTGGGCAGGGACCCCCTCAGCGGGTATGGGGCACCGACCAGGCACTGCGGGATACCCAGGCCGGCCTCCCTGCTGGGCAGGGGCCAACTTTTCTTTGAATTCCTGAGCCCAGTCTGGTGCAGACCCCTCCGTGCTGTGAGCAGAGGATCCCCGTGGGGCTGGGGGTGCCCAAGAGGGGTGCTCTCAGAGGGGTGGCGGGAGAAACGGACCATCACTGAGCGTGGTCTGTGGGGCCCAAGGACTGGTGCTGAGGCAGGTGGTGGTTCCAAGGCGCTTCATGTGCTGCTGAGCTGGGCCCTGGCCACCAGGCTGCCTCCGGAGTGGCCTGTCCCTGCGGGTCCCCACACAGCGGGGTTGCGCCCCTCTGCTCTAACCAGATGCATCCCATGTGGTCCCCTGGCACCTTCTGATCATGGGCTGTCTGGCTTTGGACAGAAATCAGAAGGCGCGAACCCTGAAAGGCAGAGGTACCCTCTCCTGAGACTCAGCGACATCCTGAAGGCCACGGAGGACTACCTGCGCCCGCTGCTCTCGCTGCTCCGCAGCCCCGAGCCCAGGTCCCGCGCCGGGTGCTCTCTGGGCGTCAGGGCCTGAGCTCTGCACACCCAGTGGGGCTGAGCCACACCCCTCTTCCTCTGCTCCCGCTCCACGGGACACCGCACCCCCAGAATGCCCGCACCCCCAGAATGCCCGGCTCTGTCCCACCTGCCGTCTTCCATTGGGAAGAAGTCCCGCTCCTCTCACACCGTCTGCTGGGGTGTGGGCGGGACAGCAGGGTGAGGGGCTGGCCGTGGATGTATTTCTGGCAGGAAAGCAGGTAGCGGGGTTGGGCCTGGGACCCCCGGGGCTGGGCAGCAGTCAGCGAGGGCCCTCAGCCTGTTCGCTGGTGCCTGCGCGCAGCTCCCCGGCCCCCATTTGTGGGGCACTTGCTGCGTTAACGAGAAATGGTCCAAAGCGATGCGCTTGACGTTCCTGCTGCGTGTGGTTTTCGAGTATTTTTCACACCTGAACGTGTACCTTTGACTTTCAGAATCCACATCTCGTCGACCATTGGGGATTTGGGGAAAGCAAAGCCCAAAGACAAGGATCGGAAGCAGTCCGTCGTCCCAGGTGAGCGGCAGCGGCAGGGAGGCGCCAGGGCCGTGAGTCGTGGGACCTCAGGAGCCTCCGTGGCTGTTGGTGAAGAAGAAGCCGGGTTGGGACTCGCCCCCCGCCGTGAGAGCCGAGGGGGCGGGCAGCTGCCGGGCGGGCCCGCGGGCCTCCCTCTGAGCGTCTCCCCGGGTGCTGGCCACCACTGGTGGCTGGGACGGTCTCAGAGGCTGTGTGCCCCGCCACCTCTGTCACAACTTGGCCGCGGGGTCAGCTCCAGGGCAGCCTGTGCCCGTGGCTCATGGCCCTGGGCACTTTGCAGGCAGAGCCCTTGCCCTCACAGCTGGGGAGGCCCGCTAGGGGTGCGCCAGGGCCTCATCTCTCACCTGGTGCCTAATTTCACAAGTCGCTCTTTTTAATTTTTATTGTTTAATCTATGCCTGGGAATATTTTTCCATTGATTTTTAGAGAGAGTGCAAGGGGGTGGGGAGGAAGGGGAGAGTGAGAGAGAAACATTGATGTGAGAGAGACATCGATTGGTTGCCGCCTGCACATGCCCCGACCTGGGCTAGGAATCGGTCCTGCACGTGCTCTTGACGGGGCATCAAACCCGAGACCGTTGGTCCACAGGCCGACACTCTGACCACTGAGCCAAACTGGCCGGGGCCGTAAATTGCTCTTTTAAAAAGGCACTTCATTCATCTACTTTTCTTCCCCACAAAGACTTGCTGAGCAGAGGGAAATGGGCAGTTACTTTGTCAAAAGTGCTTTGACCTCCTCGGGGTGCTGATGCCCACAGCACGAGGTGCAGACCCTCAGAGATGAGGCCCCGAGCGCCACCAGGGGTCCGTCCACCCGACTGAGGATGGAGGGTCCGAAGACAAGTCCCGTCCATGCGCCAGCGCTGAGGCCAGGGCTTGACCTCCCGAGGCCACTTTTGTGGCTGAGATTCTGCCCTCAAGTCCCTGCATCCGAGGAGCCCAGCCGCGCTCGGGGCCAGGGCACTGTCTTCACTCTGTAAGGCGGAGGGTCATGGGCCTTGCCGCACGCCGCCACGCGTGTCGGAGAGGGCGGGCTTTCTCTACCAGGAGACAGGACCGTGGCTCCTCCGTGGGCTCCGTGGGCCCCTGGACAAGCCTTTCTCCGAAGGGCCCTCTACGCGGCTGCCCCGGAGGTCACGACCCCTCTCTGGCCTCCTGAGGGAGGAGGGGGCTGTTCAAATGTCGGTCCTTTGGAAGGGGGCTCCCTGGTTGGGAGGAGCCACGTCATCCCAGGACCTGCCTCAGGGAGTGGCCGCCCACGCCGGTCCGGTCCTCAGAGCCACGGGAGACCCAACACTCCTGTGACCCGCCCGGCTGCACCATCAGACCAGTGTGTCTCCCCCAGAGGGGCCACATGCCTGGGGCCCTGCTCCCTGCCAGGGGGGCCACCGCGGCCAGGCAGTGGCTTCAGCAGTGACTTTTGCCACAGGGTTGGCCACGCCGGCAGCCAGCTTCCTCCCACCTCCAGTGGAGCCCGAGACCGTGGACACCGTGGTCCTCATTGTGGACAGGCCGCTCCTGGAGCTGCCACTGGAAGGCCTGCTGGTGCTCCGCGAGGGGGCCATCTCCTCCGTGTCCCGGGAGTTCTCCCTGCAGATGTTCTACAACCACCTCCACCAGGAGGAGGCAGGTGAGTGCGGCCCGGGCCGGCCGGGGTTCGTTTTGAATGGAGCTGCTTGCCTTTATCATGCGAGGTCGCTAACTCCTGTCATAGTCACCAGAAAGATCTTTATAGCGCACCTGCTGTGTGCCAGTGACTGTCAAGATTGCTCTTGGCCGCACAAACTTGTCTCCTGTGGGGGGTGGGGTGGGGGGAAGAGGCTCCGCTGCGGTGCCGGGTGCGCAGACGGGTGGTGCGTGGGAATCCTCCTCGCTGGGCACGCTGCAGATTTCCGCAGGAACAAGCCCGTCAATCAACGTGAAATCTGATGGAAAATAAGTAGATTGGATTTTTGCCGCCGTCCAAGATGAAATCCCAAGGACCAAATTTGCCCTTCGACCTGAAACAAGGAAAACCCCCGACGAGAGGCACGAAGCAATAATTTTCAGACATTGGAGACCTGAGGGGGGCTAGGCCACCACTGAGCAGTCACCGCGAATACGCGGGGAAGGGAGGAGAGCTGCAAACAGCGCTCAGTCCAACAAAGGCAGGAAAGAGGGGAGTGGAGCCCAGAGGAGCAGGACAGAGGGAGCCCCTGTGACCACCTGTGCAGGCGAGGCCGCTGTGGGGGTGACGTGCCAGTCCCCAGTAGGGTGCCTTAAAGAAAACTGTTTAAACCAAAGGGGAGAAATGGGGGGGAAAATCAATGATAGAAAACATACAAAAGCCACAGGGGACCCTCGGTGCTGCCTCCGCGTGCAAGTTCCCAGGGAAGGGGCCCCCGTCCCCCCGGAAGGGCCTCTCGGCTTTGAACGTTTATATTAGAAAATGACACGGTGTGACGCGCATGAGTAAGTAGCTAAGTTAGGAAGCGAGAGCGAGAACGCAGGAAATCCAAAGGAAGCAGAGGACGGGCGACAGCAAGCACGTGAGCCATCAACAGAAGAGAAAATGGAGCCACAGATTGGTTGTTTGGAAAAAAAAAAAAAAAAGGACAAGGCGGAGAACCCCACATCCACGCTTCCCACACAGGCGGGGACTGTCCCTGTTCCCGAACCCACAGCCTCTGCACAGTGAGCAGCCGCCAGGGGACGGCTGTGCGGAGGGAGGCGCCAGGGGGGCCGGCACCCTGGGGGGTGCCCAGTGGGGTGTGTGCATGGTCAGTGGGCGGGCCTGGCCCAGGCCTTTCCCCGCCCCCTGAGTCTTTACATTTGAGGTGCCGCTGCCATTTCACATTTAGAAAACGTAAGAGGAGCAGTTCTCCCTGCACCTGGCTTTGGTGTTGAGGTGAAGCTCACGCCACATCCAACCGGCCATTTCAAAGCGAGCAGAGTGGCGTCCGGCGGGTCGCGGTGTCCTGCACCCGCCTCCGGCCCGTCCCCCGGCACCACCACTTCCTTCCGTGTCTCCAACAGAACGGACCACGAAAAAGGGCAGCAAAGGCAAAGAGTTGAAGAGGAGAGGCCCAGGGAAGAAGAGCCGGAAGGTAGGTGGGCGAGGCCCGCTGGCCGCGGGCTGAGGGCCTGGGTGCCGCTGGAGCCAGGCCCCACGACCCCGCCTGTCGTCACAGGGCAGCGCGCCCCGAGTCATCCCTCCCGACGCCATCTTGGTCGACGCGGACAACTTCAAGTGTATCCTTTGCCGGGCCCACCGCCCAACACCAGCCTGCGGTCCCGGTTCTCCTTAACCGAAGCCCAGATGTCGTGGACCCCTTCGAGGAGGCCCAGGGCCCAGGTGAGCACTTGCACGGCCCCTCCCCTCTCTGCATGCACACGCACACGCACACGCACACGCACACGCACACGCCACACCCCGCCCTCGGCATCAGGCGTGGCCTGGGCCCCCACGGGGCAGCTCCGGGCGCTTGGGCCTTTCCTTCCTCCCAGGCCTCCTGCCCCCAGGCTCTCGGTATTTAATTCTGAGATTTAAAAAAATTTTTACTAGAGGCCAGTGCACAAAATTTGTCCACCAATAGGGGTCCCTAGCGGCTGCTGGCTGCCGGCCCGGTCCTCCCTCCTTCCCCTGGCCGGCCCCACCCCCTGGTCGAACTCCGGGTCGAGGGGACAATTTGCGTACTACGCTTTTATTATATAGGATTTTTTGGGGTGAAACTGGTTTTGCAAATCTCTCCTCGAGGGAGGGAAGGAGACCAGCGTCTCCACTAGCAGTGAGTGTGGCACCGCCACGGCCGGTGCCCCGTGAGGCCGAGCCCAGGCCCCGCCCCGCAGCCCCGCACGCTCCACGCCGGTGACGACGCTTCTGTGTTTTGCCTCCATTCCATTCTCATTGCAGGAACGTGGCTGCCTGTCTCCGTAACCCGGGAAATTTTGGATAAATACAAAGAGTCGTTCACCGCGCGATGGGTGGGACATCTGGGAAAAAAGCTCTTTCCGAGGTTCGGTCTAGGTTCCCGGGACGTTGTCCTGCGGGGCTCCCTGCGCCAGGGGGTGCTCTTCCCGTGGGGCCGCTGTCCTCAGTCTCCACCTGGGCCCCTTCCCTCCCCGTCTCCCCTGTCTCTCCCTCAGGCCCCTCCTGCCTGAGCCCCCATTCTGTCCTGTGACCCCCCCGACTTTCCTTCATCTCACTCTGGGCTCCTTGGCCTTCGTGGTGCCTGGATCAGGGCGTGGTTGTCCTTACCCCGTTTCACAGCTGAGGACCTGGCCCCCAGGGCTGCCCCGTACAGGGTCCTACAGCCAGTCCAGCGGGGCATGTCCTGTGGGTGCCCTCGGGGACTGGGCGTGCTTGGGGTCAGGGAAGTGTCCCTCTAGCACTTCCCAGAGCCATGCCCAGGGAGATGGGGTCCCCTCCAGGGACCCAGGGCCCACCCTTCTCCCCGAGATTCGCTGGCACCAGCTCCCGGGGACCCTGGAGTCAGAGCCAGGAGAGGCCCCGCGGGAGGGCGAGTGCAGGAGGCTCTGTGCGTCTCAGCCGCCGAGTGGGGTGGAGGGAAGATGGGGCGGGATGTCTTTGCTTTAAAATCTCATCCCCGGAGGGTGTCCCCTGGGGCTTCCGCACGTGCCTGTCCCTGGCCGGCAGCCCGCCCACCGAGCCCCTCCCCTGCAGCCAGGCCGAGTGGGAGCAGCTGCTGGGCCGCTGCGAGGGCTTCTTCTTCTACGGGATGGAGAACTTCCTGTCGCACTTGTCGGTGGAAAGGTTGGCTGCCATGAACTTGGAAGGTGAGCGGGTCCTCTCCTCCGGGACCGCGGGCGCCAGAGGACTAGGCGCAGGACAGAGCCGCCTCGGCAGGGATGTCGCCTCTCAGGGCCCCCATTTAGCTTCCAGGCCTGGCAGCCCACAGGGCAGGTGGGGGTCACCCTCCCCGTTCGGGCCTGCGGGGGACGGGGAGGCTGGGGCGTGTCTGCCACACGCGGTCACCCGCCCTGCCCACCAGCCCCTCTGTCTGACCTTCCGGCCCCACCCCAGGACACTGCACAGGGGCTGGCGGCATTTTCAGGGACCCCTCACGGAGGCCCCTCCCCTCCGGGTGCGTGTCCCCATGGATGGCAGCCTGGGGACGCTTGTCCCGGTCTCCTTTCCCGTCCCCCACTCACGCCGCGGGGCCACGCAGGACAGGACCCCACTCCACCCCGTGAGCATGTCACCTGGGAGGTAGAAACAGGGCCTCTTTGAAACTGACCCGAGCCTTCCCAGACGGGATGGCCAGGGAGCCCAGAAATGTGAAGGTCACAGGCCTCGTGGGCCACGGCACCGCCAGGCCCACTGCTCCCCACAGGCCTGTGTGTAAAAGCCGGAGGGTCTGCCTGCCCCCGGGGCCGCCCGAGGCCCAGCCCAGCCAGGCCGCCCTGGGAGCGGGGTGGGCCTCTGCATCTGTGGGGCCGCCTGAAGCCCGGCCCAGCCAGGCCGCCCTGGGAGCGGGGTGGTCTTCTGCATCTGTGGGGCCGCCTGAAGCCCGGCCCAGCCAGGCCGCCCTGGGAGCGGGTGGGCCTCTGCATCTGTGGGGCCGCTGCACGCCCGCCCTGGTGCATCTCGGACACTGGCCCCTGTCTCAGAGGGCATGGGGGCCAGGGCGACCAACTCCTCGCCCTGTGCCCGGTCCAAGCCAGATGCCTGGTCGGGGTGGCGTGCTGGGAGCCGAGACCCCCTCGCAGGGGGGGGCCTGCTGGGGGCCCCGGGGCACAAGGAGGCTGAGACGGGTGTGGGCTCCTGAAGCAGATAATGTCCTGAGCGCCCGTGTGGCCCGTGACCCAGAAAAGGGCCTGCAGTTCACACCCAGGCCTCGGGCAGCTGGGGCTGTTTCTGTGGTCACTGCACCGGAGACGCCAGCCTGCACCCCCCTCCCCCCGCCTTTGTCCTGCAGACTGCCGGCTGATGGTCCTGCTGGACCTGAGCCGGTCCTACGAGAGCATGCGGCGGACGCTGGAGTCCTCGGAGCACAAGAGGTGCGGGTGGCCCTGCTGGCAGCCCGGCTTGTGGAGGCTGCTGGGGGGCGTGGGGGGCATATGAATGATGGGCGCATCCCATGGGGAGTGTGGGGGGGAAGTGCCCCTGCAAGCTGTGGGCAGAGCCCCAAGAGGGAGCCAGGCCTCCATGACGGGCTCCCACACCCTCCCTGCGAAGTCTCGGGGGCCCCAGCAGCTGACCACCGGCCACCGGAGCCTCGAGGCTGCTGGGGTTGGGCCAGGAGCCAGAGGGCCGGCAGTCGGGAGGGTGCCCCCAGCACGCGCACCCCAGGGACCTGGACTTCCTCTCACAGGGGGTGCCCTGCAGAGGGATCTGAATGCCCTTTTTTTGTGGCATTTAAGTTTGGGGGTGGGAAGTTTGAAGAGCTGTCAGTCCAGATAGGCGTTCCGGCCCTTGGTGCTGTTTGGGGTGAGGACGGAGCGGGCTCTGTCCCACGGGAGCTCGGTCCCCTGCAGCGTCCCCCAGCTGGCCCTGGAGGAGCCCATCGAGACGGCCATCCTGCTGAGCCTGGTGGGGGTCAAGAGCATCCTGGCGAACCAGTGGCCGTCGACCCTGCAGGACAACGCGCTGAGGGCCAACGTCCTGTGGGAAAGTGCGTGGTGCCGGCCTGTCCCACACCCCGAGCCTCCATGGAAGCCCGCGGTGGGGGTATGGGGGGTGGGGGGGGAGGGTCCACGTCTCTGAGGTGGGATTTCTTCCCCAGATCTGCTGGCATTTGGCAAGACAACCGGGAAAGTGGCCCGTCTCCTTCAGAGGATGGAAGCCGGTGAAATGGTCAGCCACGGTAACTGGACTGTCCGCCTCACGCCCCCACCCTCCTGCACCTGCAGGGTCAGAGCCCCCACTTCCACACCCGCACGGCCTCCTGCAAACAGGCCCACAGCCGGGCCGGGCCTCTGCGCTCCTCAGGGGAAGCTCCGGCCATTAGATCTGCGGATTTGTCTTTAAAACGGTTCAAGTGGCACCAAGTCTGAAAGCCCGGGGGTGTGTTCACAGCAGCGTCCAGGCCTGGGGGCCGTGTGGCAGGCAGAGCCAGGAGCACCCCCTCCCCGCCCACCCAGGCGCCTGGCCCTGGGCTGGGGCCCCGGACTTCCTGCTCCCGGTGAGCCTCCTGTCCCCTCTCCCCTCAGACGAGTCTCCACAGACCCCCAAGAACAGGCTGATGCTCCGACCACAGCTGCACGGCTCTGAGTGGCCCTCCACCAGCCTCAACCTGGTCCTGTACGGGCTGCCGAACCAGGCCATCGTGTGATCCTCCCGTCCCACTCGCTGCGCCCCTGCAGGCCCGCCCCCGGGCCCTCCTGCAGCGCCCTCCTGCTGGTCTGAGTGCCTCCCCTTCGCCCCCGTGCCACCTGCCTCCTCCACCATCATCCAGGGCCCTCCCAGGGTCTGCCTGCACCTCTGTACCCGGACCCTCATGGAATGGGACCCAGGAGGGGCCCGGCAGGCAGGTGGGGTGAGGGCTGCACTGGGGGCCACCCCAGGCTGCCTGGACCCCTGAACTCACCCTGCCCTGTCGAGGGGGCGCATCTCTCCCCGGGGACCCGGAGGAGGGGTGGTCTCCACCCCCACGAGCCGTCAGCAGCAGGGGTGCCCTCGGGAGACCGTTTCTGGCCGATGTCCCTGGGGACGAGGCTCGTGGTCCTGGGGGGACATGCTGGTTCCGAGACAAGGAACACTGTTGGGCCCTTTTGTTGTCCATGTAAGAGCTTTAGTAAAGGACGGAACCCAGCTCCTGCGAGTGCTGTCTGTGGCCGAGACGCTGGGTGGTGGCGGGGCCGGGCCCGGCCTAGGGTCTGGGAGTCACGTCACCAGCACCTTGTCCCATCCGGCCGTGTAAAATGAGCCCCCAGCCCCCCCAGGGGCCCCCACTCGGGTGGGCTCCCACCCCGGCAGAGGCAGGGACAGGTCCTCACGTGGCGCTGGGCCCTGAGGGCTGCGTGGCCCTGTCCTCGCAGCCAGGAGCTCCCAGCCCAGGTCACCTGCCACCTCCGGATCAAGGTGGGCTGTGTCTTCAGCGGGACCCGGACGGTGGAGCCAAGTGGAGCAGAGCCACCAGGTGTGGCATGAGCAGGTGCCAGGGACCGGCTCTGTGGCTCTGCTCTGTCCATGCATTTCCTCACCAGGGGAGAGGCGGTGGGGAGACGACGGCATAAAGCAAGGCCAGGTCGGTGCCCCCCCGCCAGCCCCTTGCTGGCCCTCTGACCTTGGCACGTGTGTGCCCCACGCTGGGCCAGCAGATTGGATGGGGATGCCCACTCCCTCCAAACCTCTTGGCTGATTGGCCGGCACTGGACTTGCCAGCCCTACGCCCTACGCCCTACGCCCCAGCCCCGTGGCAGGTCCTGGGGGCTGAAGGGAGCCGTGCAGGGGGAGCAGTGGGGGTGGGTGGCACACAAGGCAGGGAGAGCCAGCAAGCAGAATGGGGGCACACACACACACACATGTATACACGTGTGCATGTACAGGCTCTCACATGCGTCCATGTGCACACAGGTACATGCACCCACACACGCAAGCCTGTGGAAACAGCACAGTGTGCGGTCGGGTTCCCGTTCGCCACCGTCTGCACTATTTATGCCGCTTTCCATGAATCTGTAGTTAATTCAATATAAAGTGTTTTGAAAGCTCATCTTTGATAATATTGAAAGGTGGAGATTCCTCCTTTTTTGTTTGATTTTTTCCAAATATATACACATAGTTGCTCCAGGTTTTTTTTTAAAGCTAACTAATGACCAGGGAATAAATTTGGATCAGAGCAGCGTTGGAAATATGAGCTTTCTTGTGGCGTGGTGTTGGCACGCGCCCAGACAACAGGAGTAAAAGCTTCTGGAGATATTTCATTGCAGGCTCACTGCTCACCTCCCCTGTGTCTCCTCACGTGAGTGCGATTTCATGCATCAAAGGCGCTAAAATAACTTTCTGAATTATGTCCCAGCAACATAACAAATCACATTATCAATTAACTTCTACAATAGAAGTGGCTTTCTGTAATAGATCCAAGCGTGAAAAAATTACGTGGGTGAAATTTATGTAACCCTAAAAACTGTAAGGAGAAGAAAGATCACTTTGAATTTATTGGTGATAATAGGGGACTGGAGGTAATTCGCATGGTGGACAGCCCTGTGAGACAGGGTGACCAGTCTGCACGCTCTGGACAAGTCCCACAAAGGACACGGGCGGGTGACAGGGCTGGGCAGCAGGATGACCACACTGCCAGCCAGCTGACCCCGCCAGCGGGTTGGGGTGGGAGCCGAGGGCAGGCGGCTCTGGTCCAGGCTGAGCTCTGGATGGGCTCCGTGACCTTGAGCCGGTTACTCAGGAGGGTCAGACTCCCTGACCCAGGACTGCCCATCCCTGGGGCCTGACCCCACCCAGCTCCTAGACCCACTGTCCCAGGTCCCCATTGGTCCAGCCCCTCTGTGTCCCGGTCCCTCCCTCCCAGGCCAGCAGGAAGTGTCTTGCCCGCCATTCACCTTTTTAAAAGTTCTACTTTTTTTCTTAATTGTCTTGAAAATAGTGATTTCCATATTTTAAAGGTAAGGAGTGTTTTTATTGTAGGAAATTTGGAAAATAAAGTCCTCTCAGCAGACAGCAAAGGTCACCGTTTGATGGATATCTTTTCTCTGCCCGCTTCCTGCCCGTCGAGCTCCCATGGGGTCTGCACCAGCCCCTGCAGTTTCGCTGAAGGACCGTCCATTCCAAGGTGGTTTTTAAAAATCAGAATCCTCGTTTAAAACATCTCTACCCTCAGCAGGCCACCTGCACACCCCAGGGTCCCCTGTGCCCGGAGGGGGGCCTGTTCCAATGGGGCTGCTCCTCGTGGGGAAGTGGGGGCTGGGGTGAGGGCGCTGAGGACCCGGGCACACCAGGTGTCCTGTCACTGGGCCCAGGTGGTGTGGGCTCGGTGTCCACACCTCACGTTCCTCCCTCACTTTATCCCCTGGACCGAGGCCCATGCTCCTGAGGTGGCCACCTAGCGCCCTGCCCTTTGCCAGCCCCTGGCAGCCTCCACTCGTCCTGGCACCACGTCCTCACTTCCTGGCACGGGCTCTCGAGCCCCTGGTCCCTGCCTGGGACTCCCAGCGATGTCCCTGCTCACCCGGGAGGCCACCCCGCCCCACCCCGTCCACCTGGGGCCTGGGCACCTGGGCCTCCCTCCTCTCCCGTCTTAGTTCACAGGCACAGCTAAAACAGGCTTCCGGATTGATTTGGATTAAGATGTTAGGTGGGTTAATAAACTAAAGGGCCCACAGACCCTTGTATATAAATTTCTATTAAGTTCCCGCATCCAACACTGGTCTCTAATAGTTTAATTTCTGTATTAAATAATTAAAACTCTATTGTCAATTGCTGTGAACAATTGTTTTTCTTAATGATCTTTCCAGAGGAGCCAGTAATTTTATATCTTGTAAAAATGATTAACTGGCATCATTATCCCATATTCCTGAAATATAACCTGGCGACTTCACGAAAGGCCATCTGTATTCAATTAATGCTCCTGCGTTAGACGCAGCATCCCTCCGCGCCACGGCTGTCCTCTCATTTTATTATGGCGATGATGAAGATGGAAACAACCAGTTTAATTATCCCATTTCCAGCGGTGAAATCAATTTGCGACACGTCTTCACGCTTAAAAAAGAAGATGAAGAAGGCGGCAGCCTGGGCCCTGGGAAGGGCAGGCCGGGCGGAGCGGCCAGCAAACGCCTCCCAGGCTGGGCTGGCGGCGGAGCAGGGAGGGGCCAGCACCTTCTGGGCTCTAGTTCCCCGGGGGTTCCCTGCTCTGCCCCCCAGCATCACTCAGCCCCTCAGTCCCCCGCAGCGGGTCCCTGAGGCCGGCCCTGCTCACTGGACCCACAGGGACATGGGCTGCTCCCCAGACCTGGTCTGACTGTAAAAGTGGGGGGTCGGGAGGGGGACTTCACGTGGCGTGCGGCCCCCTGTCTGTCAGGGTGATTCCAGGGACGCCCCTGCCCTGCCGCTCCATCGCTGTCGGCCACATAATCTAATTGTTTGACGTTTTTATCACAACTCCTTGGGAGGAGGCTAGATTAATACTCTGTGCGGTTGGCCGACAGCCGGGACGGCGCTGATGGGCTGAATTACAGGGGACTCTTAAATTTCCTTATTATAGATTTTAATTCTTTATGACAAGAGGCGAGAGGGGGCGTTAAGACAATGAGGTGGAGGCGGCCCTGTACCTGGGGATCAGGGTGCCCCCCACGTCCTCCCCCTTTTTCTGGCACCTCCTGCCACCAGGCTCTGTTCTGGGGCATCGGGGGATGGGGGTGCTCAGACCGTAGGACGGGACAAGGACCATCCTGCCTACAACCCGTCCCCCAGGAAACATTGTCTTTGAGATGAAACTCTTGGGCTCAGAACTGCCCCCCAAAGATGAGGCTGCTGAGCCCCACGCCCCCATGAAGCGGGTGCCATTCTGGTGGCATTTCTGAGGGTTGAGAGTTGGGGTCTGGTCATGAGCCCAGTGGCCACTTGCATCTCCTGCCTGTGGGGTTCTTATTTGCAATCTGTCCATTTCTTCCCCTTTTGCTATTAATTCTAGTTCTCTGTGTAATAGGAACCCTCACTTTTCTCTGTCACAGGCACTGAAACCTTCCTCCCAGTTTCCCATTTACTGCCAGATCTTCTTATTCATGACGGGCTTCGTCACCCTGAAAATATTTCATGCACTTTTCTGGCCACAATGTGACTGTTTCACGCCCCGTGATGGATACGGATGGCGGGCCTCCGGGCGTTACCCGACCCGGTCACCCAGGGGCCCCCTGCCCTGCCCTGCTCGGAGCCCGTGCTCACCCTCGGGGTTAACCACACATTCTACTGCGGACCTTTCTCACTTGCAGTTACGCTGAGACCCAAGACCCGAGACCCTGCAGAAGCCCTCTGTGCACGGCGTCAGGTGGAAGACGGGCGTGTGGACGGGGCAGGTGTCCCTGAGGACCTAGCTGGCCTGGGTGCCCCTGGGAGGGGCAGCTGTGGCTGGACGGGCCCAGGCTCTGCAGGAAGAGCTTGGGGACAGTGGGCGCTGGGGGCTAGGCAGTGGGCATGAAGCAGGCAGAGGGAGGGTCTGGGAGGCCTCAGAGCCAGGCTTTGGGGTGCTGAGTGGACGGCACTGGGTCACAGAGGCAGGGAGTCGGGTCCCATTTCCCAGGGACATGCTTTGGATTCCTGGAGCCAGAGACCTGCTGCCCCCACAAGCAGGCTGCGCGAGGCGGTGGCCGGGGCGGTGGCCAGGTTGAGGCATTGT